TGGAGGTCTTTGGTGTCTTTATTCTTCTTCCTAGCTGCCTTCCCATCCCAGCATGGATGTATGTGCATTTTTCCCCGCTGAGATGGATGCATCTCCCCTAGACAAGAGCAGTAGAAGTTCACCCACTATATTTTCTGTCTTTTCTCTTTTTCCTCTAATGGACTTAGTACAAGATGTTTAGGTCTAATCTCACCAAAGCAAACAAAAATCCATGCTGAAGAACATTACCAAGTCAAGGATCTGAAATTCTCCTACCTGCCCTGGTTCATCAACCACAACATACCTGATAACAACTCTTTCTTTTGCTTTTTTCCTCTTCCATTTTTTGCCATTGAAATTTCAGGCACCTTAGAGGCAAATTTTCAGCCACCCTGGGAGCTGCTGGAGGGGGCTGGGGGAGTTGTTTGTTCACTAGAATGTTTACAGAAAATTTGTTACAGCCTGACCAGATCAAATTGGCATGATGTGTAAGGAAACGGGATCCTTCGGTATTTTTAGTGCTCTCCAACCTTTCTAACACAGATCTGTAGGGCATTAATTAATTCCAGTTGTCTGACAGTTCATTTTCTCACAGATAATTTGGTTCCAGATGTCTTTTAGATCCAGTGATAACAGGATGCTGGCATTTATCATGTGTGGTTTCTTGAGCATATATTTTCTGATCTGTTTGATAATTTGGACATTATATACCATATCTCTTTATTGCCTTTGCAAGTATCTGTCTTTTTTTTCCTAGTGGTTTCATTACTTCTACTTTAGTCACTGACAGACAGGATAAATGCCCCCAATTAACACATGGACCTTTCTGTAGCTGTCCTTTATTTGCATAACATTTTCTTCCCTAGCCAAGCTGCATGGGTCATTCTGACCACCTTCACTTTGCTTTCTGCATCCAATTATTTTTACTCTGTGTTTTCACAGTGTAGCTCAGCTCATACCAAATCTATTTGGGTAGCTTTACTACACGCCATCTGGTCCATGTTTGATTTTCCAGGAAGCTTGGGCTTTCTTATCCATAATGCCACTAGTCTCTTTTTTTAAATTTTGAGATTCTTTACTTTCTGTGGGACGGAAGACAGAACTGAAAGGTCTTCTTTCTGTGCTGGCTGTGCTACAGACTCAAACTTGGTCTGGGTAAAAAACAAATGCGTTTGTCCCATGTATCCAATAGGAGTGGGAGAAATCTTCTGATTATAGTGTGAACAGATAATTTTAAAAACTTCTAATATTGAGTTTGCAAAGTGAAATTTATTTTCATAACTTTGCATCATGTGACAATACAAACAAATGGATCTGAAATATATACCCATCCCTATTGACATACATGTGTGACTATGCCAAGGACTGGGAGAATTTCTAAATGAGCACATATTCCCTGCCGGTTCCTTCATGCTTGCAGACTGATGCAGGTATCTAGTGCTAGTGAGCTGTGGAGCCACACAACGTGGTTGCTTTCCTCTCTGAAGTGGCCTCTGGTTTCCCCCAACACTTTGGTACTGGTAGTGGAGACACTTCAGATACAGATCTCTCATGTTCACCAGTTGCAGCTCTGGGGAAGAAGCTGAAATGGTGTGAGAACTGGGCTTCTGACAGACATGATGCAAATGAGAGACCTCTGAGTGTGACTCCAAAGGGCATCACTTAAATTCAGAGATTTATTCTGAAAATATGGAGCAGCTCCTGGAGAGTTGTGAGGGTCCAAGCCCCTGAGGAGGCCCCAGGACCTCCTGCATTGGAAAGGTGAAGTTGCTCAACTCCTAGACTATCCCCAAATGTTACTAGGATGCAAGGATAGTAACCAGTTCATTTAAGCCCATGGATGCCTACATTAGGTGCTGTAGATGTCTACTTTGATGACTGCTTTGTCAATCTAATCACTTTCTGTGTCTGATGAGAGACAGACACTTCTGGGCTAGGTTCTTCCAATGCATTTTGGCAGTCTGGGATGATTACCCCAGTCAGACATCACTCGGCTAGAAATGTTTGTGTATGATTGGATGGGAACACTCCTGGTGTTCTCTCTTTCTCCACAGTCAATGAGCTTCTCCAGAATGTACTTCAGACCTCAGAAGCCAGAACTGACTCCCACAACAGGTTTGAGGAGATGGATGGAGCCAGGTTAGGCAGTGGCTTGGTCAGTGCCTCTTGAGTGTGGCCAGTATATGGTATTTAGGTGCCTGGCTCCCACATCTGAGGGGGAAAGTGATCGTTTCTGAGCTGATAGAAATGCTACAGCTCCACCAGAAGTGGAGACAAGGATGTACTGAATGCATGTTGTTCTCCACAAGGTCAGGTCTGACCAAAGAAAAAATTATGCTTTTGATAACCCACCAAATGATTTTTATGGAGGTGTTATATTAGTCTGGCCATTAGCTTTCTTCTGTCCAAGTTCTGGAACTGTGCACGAGGGTGCACTTGGACATCACTCTGCAAAACATGTCTAGTTTTAAGGCCTGGTGCAAACCAGTCCAGCCGAGACAGGTAGGTAGGAAAAGTATCCATTAGAGATGGCACGTGAGACACATCCCCACAGGAGGGGCTACTCATCTTGCCCTTTTATGCCTGTGCTGTCTTTTAGAGAGGACAGTGGCTCTCCTTGAGCTACAGGTGAAGATTTATGAGGGCAGAAATACCTGGTTTTGGGCCCCTTCTTGTCCTGAGAGGACTCAAATTGCAGGAAAACTCGGCCTTCACCCTTGGTAAGAGATAGTTGCTCCAACTGCTCTCCGCTGTTGATTTGGCACGTAAGCAGGCCTGGGTGCTTGAACACCAAAGACAAGCAAGGACACAGAGTGTAACTCGGCAGGGATTTTGGCATGAACATGGGGAAGGCCGTGTATGAAGATGTCTGGCCCAGCCACAGCAGCACTTGCCAGCGACGCTCAGTGCCCAGCATTGGGCTCAGCTGCTGCACAAGGCTATGGCTGTCACCCCCTCGGCCTGGCTCTCAGCCAAGCTCTCATGCTCTTGGCCCTTGAGCCTGGGAATGGAGGCACCCAGTGGGACAGCGAGCTCAGCCGGCCAGGATGCCCCAGTGGGAGGGGAGGCAGTGACCACACGGCAGTGCCGGCTGGCAGAGCCAGCAAGTCCCCACTGTGTGGTCACACCCATGTGCCATGGCCCTACAGTGCAGGGGTGAAAGGCCTCAGCATGGAGGGAGGAACCGCGGTAGCACTGAGCCCCACTTGAGCTTCCTCGTAATTTCCTTGTTCTTTGACCCCTGAAGCTGCGTGCAGTCATTTGGAGTAACTCTGGGGGCCAGAACATACTTCCACCACCCTTTCCAGCTGGGAATTTGGGTCAGAAGGGGTGTGGAGGGCAGCCTGCAGCTGGACTCGACATGGACCCTCCCTATGCTGGTTGGTGGGGATCCTGCCTAGTCAGTGACAGCCCTCAGGGGGACTTGAGCTTCTCTTGGGGGCCACAGGACCTCTGCAACAGCAAAGCTGTAGCTGTTAAGGTAATATTTTGCCCGGAGATTTAAAGACTGTGAGGTCTGCAAAAAACTTTGCCCTCTTTGACCTTGTTGCCTCCATGCCTGTTCCATGCTGCTGACTATTCCAAGCCTCTTGGAGCAGGGACCATCCCTCGTTCCAAGCAAAGCTGCTTGTTGTGGAAAGGTTTCGTATAATGCAAATAACACTTAGCATCTAACTTGGGTATAAAGAAGACATCAGATACCTGCAGGAGCCAGACCCCAAAAATCATAAGGCACACATGCCTGGTCGTGCAGACACAAGTGGTGATGAAGACCCTGGAGCTGCTTGTGCCTGAAGACCCTCACATGCCAACGCTGCTGGGTCCTGCTCTGCCCTGTGTCCCCCTGGATGTGCACACCCAGCATGGCTGCATGCCCAGCAAGCAGAGACAGCACCCACAGTGGGATGAAAACCAGCAGATCAGTTCAAAGGTGTGGCCATTGGCAGCCGAGTGACCAATACAGCCCAGCCACAGCAGTGGAGACCGTGGCGTCAGTGCCACCACCCTCCTGGCAATCAGGCAGCCATGCATAGTCACAGGTATGAAGCCCAGGCAAAAATCAGGTGCAAAGTTAAAACTTGATTCTGGCAATATTTTAACAGGAACCAACCACTGTATTCTTGCCAAACTAGAAGAAAACCGTTGTGTTTCACTTTCCTTGCTGTACCTTGTAAAAACATCTGTATTTTTTCTTGTCTGCAATGCTGGCCATGTTTCCCCTGTGTGGAGATATTAACTGTACATTATTTTACATTTATTACTATTCTTTTGTGTCTACATTGGCTTCAGGACAGAGTACCACTCAGAGGTAAGCTTTTATATCACTAAGAGAAAATCTAACAAGTCCCTCAGTCTTCAGTACACATCCCCTCAGCAAATAGCTCTCAGTACGTACCAGAAGCTACTAAATCATTCTTCCTTTTAAATAAACAGAATTAACTTGTCCTAAACATTTCTGATGACAAATAAGGAATAAATGTGTTAGCAATAAGCATGTTACTGCCAAGCACCCTGAACCCACAAGAATGCTAATGTTTTTTAAGCATTGTGGAGAGCAGGAGGGGAAAAAATATATTTGTTAAAAAGCATGGTTCGGATCCTCGGGTGGTAGGCAGTGATGGAACTCCAGTGCAGTGTTAATTGGTACAGCTGCCTGGTGAAATGTCTTTAATAAAAACAACAGGCAGTCAAGTTCAAGATGCACTGTTGTTTCAAATACCCATTGCATAACTCAGACAGTATTTGGTTTATTAAAGGCGGAGGGCATAGAACTGGGGAGGTGAAGGGAACAACAGTATCTTTCCACATGGGCACTAATCCAGCCACTGGGCAACAGCAGAACTCCCTTTCCCCCAACACGCTGAGGCTGCTGATGAATTTAATGTTCTCTGAAGACTGTCTCACTTGAAATCAAACTCACTTATGACCTTTTCTCTGAGCTGCAGGACAATAAAATCCATAATGCAAAGGCAGTCAAACAGAAGACAAGGATGTGATTTTTTTTTTAAATGAATGGTTTATTCATGAACTATTTATAAAAATGTGTAAAATATGTTCAAATATATTTCGTTTGTTGACTGTAGCTAAAAATATAAAAATATACTTAATGAATGCATAAATTAAATTGACAATAGTAGCACAATTCTGTGTTCACCCAGTGTTTGTTAGGAACACAAATTTAAGTAATTATATAGCATATGAGAATGGAATATGTGCTGAAGATGTTTTTCAGACGCTTTACTCCAGGCACTGGCAAAGAATTTATGGCTAGCCACATTTCAAAATTGTGGGTTTTTTCCCTAAAACATACTGCCCTTCTGTAGAGCAATATATACTTAGCTACTTGACGTTACTTACAGTATTTCTTTAGCTTTCAAATAATCCAAGAAACAACCAAACCATCATGCATATCAATCTGTCAGCATCATTGACACTTTATGTGCCCAAATTCCACAGCATTTGCTAAATTTAGCTCATCCCTAGTCTTCAGTATTTCCTGCCAGTCTTAACAACTAAATCCTGGTCTGAACTAGCTGTTGATCTGCAAGCTCACTGGTAACAGACCCGTTTGCTTTGGCCATAGTGGTGCTACCAACAGGTCAAGAGTTTGACTTCATCAGTCAAACAGTTGAGGGCATGGAGTTACACAGCAAACTGCCCGAGTACTGGGGTGCACACTCAGCTTCTGTTCAAAGTTGCAGCCTCCTGGGACTATAGGTCCCAGAGCTCACAGCTCCAGAGCCCGAATGTCTGTGGAGTGGTGGTCATTCTGTATTGCATTTTATTCACACAAACTGCATGTCTGAAGTACTGAATAAAATCTGAATAAATGTAAGCACCTGCCACGCCTCTCCTTGGAAGCTGGGGCTGCGGTAGGCTTTATATCTGAATGTCAGATGTATTTCTCTGATCTGTGGCCCTGTGAGGAGATGCTAATATAGTGATTAGATGGTTACTGTTCTCATACTGACTTCCAGGCTGAGGAGCATGACCAAGTGCTCATGTAGTCCTATCTGTCTGGTATTTAACTTATTTCTTTCAAAGTCAAAGTGTAAATAACCATATACAATACATAATAGAAACTTAAAGCTCACACATTTTCTTTGTTCTACAACTGAAAGGAAATTCATAATATATCATTACATAAAATAACATTTCTGGCAATTTTAGGCACGTATATAAGCTGTATAAATAACTATAGCAGCAGAGAAAAATGTATAAAGTTGCACTTTTATGACATCTTCACAGTATGCCTATTTCTCTCATCCACTTTTGTGTTCCATTAGTAATAAAAAATATCATTTATCAACTCCAGCTATGCATTTTTTTTTTTTTTTTACAATTGGTAGTGGATCTTGTAATTGTATTGCACAGATTAAAAACATTTATTAAATTTTTTCATTATTAAATAACTTTCAATACAAAAATTTGAATTAACCTAAAAGCCCAACCCTGCAAGTGCTTCAGAAGTGGAATGGTATTCTTCAGGCAAGCATTCCAGTTGACTTTCATGAAAGTACTCAAGTAGCTTTGTGGATAATGCAGAGATTCACAGGACTGGGCTCCAAGTGTGCAAATCTTAGCTTATGGATCAGCGACAAGACTAACCTTGCTTTATAACATTATTATTGGGAAACATCAAGAAGGGAATTCTGAACATCATTTGTGGACATTCAAAAGAGAAACATCCTCTTACGTGGAGGGTGTCTTTCTCCTTAAGAGATGTCTTTGTCCAGTACACAGGCTCCTTCAAGTCCATTCTTGTTACATTAACAATTTCCCATCAGTCCTGTTACTCAGCTCAGAGGCACAGTAAATGTAATTAATTATACTGATAAGTAGGTGTCTTAAAATGCTACATAGATACTTTTTACTTATTCTCAGTGGATTTACACTGGTTTCATGTGAGCAGAATTGGCTAGAAAGCAGAACCAGAGCAATAATGTGTATATACAGTCTCACGTGTGACCTAGCTAGGCAGAGATGTAAAGCTGCTGAAGAGCATTGTGACAGAGTGTTTAAGGTCATCTGTCATGTTATTAAGTGATGAAGAGGAAGAGGCTTACGAATTGTGTTCATAATTAGCTGAGAGAAAAGATGAAAATAGCTGTCTGCTACGACATCACCATTTTGGGTGCACATTTGTGAACTCTGTAGGTGTGGAGGAGGGAGCTGAGAAACAATGTTAAAACAAAGAGCAGAACTATGTGTGTCTTTCTGAAAATGATGAACAACACACATACATAGTGTACAATCAGACTTTTGCCTTCAGATAATATATTACTGAGCGAGTTCCATTTCCCTCAGCATAAAAAATGACACAGTGCTATAGAGTGTGAGATAATTTACAGGGTACATTTGGTATGTCTTCACAGTGTAATTGTACTGCTGGTAACTAACATGGTTAGTTCCTCAGCTACCACTGCAAAAAGAAAGGACTAAATGCAGTGCACGTAACACAATGGCAATTTTCATGATGCCCTAAGTTCAGCTGCTATTAGCAGGGTCAATGATCGATCTGAAGCTGCTATGCTTGTTTGTCCTTGCTTGCTAACCTAGTCTACCTAGCAAAGAAAACAGATTAAAAAGGGGTCTGAGAAAAACTGCACATTTCTTTGTGGTTTTGCTTAGTTTCCTCTGTGAAAATGGCTCCCACTATGATGCCAGTTCCCTTCTTCAGATCCCACTAAGGGTGATGAATCTTGAGGTTTGTGTGGGGCCAAAGAGGATGTATAAGAGGAATGAACAGTATTTTCATACAGAGATGCCTAAAAGGCTAATCAAGCTTACATGTTCTGAGCAGCTGTGAAAGCTGATATGAAGGGCAGCTTCTGAGGCACACGAGGATATTTGGTCAAGAAAGGATGAGACTCCAGAAGGAGTAGGGAGGAAAAGTGACTATCAAGCTGTTTCCTTCTTTCTAAGAAAACCAGTGACATGGATGTGCATAATCCTGCTGGTTCTGCTTTGGAACAGTGTAAGAAAACTACATCAGAGCTGCCTAGCAGATTTCTTCAGCCACTGTCAAGCAGGTGTTCCTACCGCAAGGAGAGTCATGGTGAAATCACAGTAGTCTTGGCCCAGGGCCACAGCAGTTCCTCAGTTAGACACTTAGGTATATTGGCTGGTTCTCAGGTGGCCTTCAGAAGTATTTTTCTTTCCAAAATAAAAGTGGAATTTAGGTCCAGCAGCAGTCTAAGTTTTCTCTAGGTAAAGTCTGGGTGTAAGAACTATCAAGCCCTTCTTTTTGTGATGAAGAAAAACTGTGTACTGTCTCTTCTCTATTTGTTTGAAGAGCATTTTATAAAGACAAAGAATAGCTGAAAGAGAGTCTTCACTCCCTTGAATGAGAAGTCTCTTTGCAGAGGAGAGAGGATGTGCCTAATCTGCTTGGCTGGGCAGGATACCTGGTGAGTGCTCTTTGATTGTACTCCTTGCTAATCACTGAATGCTTTGAGTCATCGGATGATTAGCAGAGGCTGGCCAGCTTACATCCCCTGGTTTACTGATAAGCCTTTTTCTATTCCAGCTCCTCTTGCGGAGGTGACTTCAGGCAACACCTGTGGAGGAGTCTTTCTATGAGGACATGCTGGACCCATGCTTTCCCTTTGTGAAAGCAAGTGGCATTCGAAGGAGACCAACACTTGGGCCAAGGCATCTATGCTGCAAGCAGCTTAAGGCTGAAGCCAGTTGTGTAAACTGAAGGATATATACCTTTATATGTCTATACTTCAATATGTTTATAATCTCTCTACCTTTTTAGCTGTCATGATACAGCATTGTTTTTAATAAGCTATGGATGTTGCCAGATTTCACATCCTTACACGGCTGTTAACATGAATGTCTGAGGCATTTCCTTGAACACTTTTCGTATTGTAATTATACCCACATGAAAATGCAGAGACATGGGCTGTGGTATGATTCTGCTCTCTTAAACCAGTGTAAAGAAATCAGAATGTGACCTGTCTCCCCTCAAAGTGTGTGAGGGAGAAAGGTCTGATAAGACTTCACGGCAGCATGTTGTTTGATATTTTTCTCCTATGTCACATTAGACTGAAATAGTTGCTTCTAGTAAGGTGGACTCTCTTTTGCTTGGCTGTTAATGAGTTCTGTAAAAGGTATGCCATTGTGTTATGGGTTATACCCATTTTCATCAGATCAAAAGCAGTAAGTTTAGTGTAGAGTAGCATTATAATTCCTATAAAGGACTACTGTTCCCTTGCTTAATAATAGCTTATTTCATCTCACAAACACTGAACGAGTTAAAAAAAAAAAAAAAGAGGTTCTCCTTATAGGATTTTTCCTGTGTGTTACATGCCAATGCTGCTCTAAATGCAGCAGCCCTGTTTGCCATACAATTTAAAATAGTTTATGTAGAACAGTTCATAAACCTGTGATAAGAAAAAAAATATTATCTGAAGCTTAATATTAACAATATAGAAAAAAATACATATTTACATAATGCCAAAATACAATTATATACATTAATATCTATTACACTTAAATTATATATCTTTTAAAAAATCACCAGACCAATAAATTATACACAGTCTCAACAGAAAGGTCTGGCACCTTTCTAGTGCATGAAGTACATACATTAAAAAAAACAAACCACAAAACCCCTAGTTAACAAACTGTGGTCACAAAAGCAGATTTCTGTAACATTCTCAGTGCCTTGAATAAACAGCATCTGAAAGCAAGAGAAACTGCGATTAGAAAAAATAAATTAACCCAAGTGGCTTCATGTTCAACTCTGCCAGCTGACTACAGTGCTCTGAAAGGTGGTTGTGTGGCAGCAGTGCTGGCTGGTGACAGCTAAAGAGCAGATCCCACCTCTGATTTTGCTGGCATTCCCAATTTGTGGAACCCTGGTTATTTCAGCCCCTGACTGCTCTACCTGTGATGACAACTCTGATGTCTATGGGCTAGATCAAGAAAATTAGTTTGATCCCTCATCATATGATCTCAATTTCTAATGTTCAAATTTGAGGAGCTACTGAGATCCTGCTCTCTGACACTGAAAACTTCTACAGCCCTTAGGAATTAGCTCTACCAGGACACACAGGTCACCTCTGCTTACAACTTCACCAGACTGGTCCTCTGGCAATGAGAGAATGAGGTGAAGGGCAGTGCTAGTGCCAGGTTTGCTACTCCTGCAATTCCTATCACCAAGTGACTCGGTACAGGGTAGCAAAAAGAGCCTACAAGGATGGAGAGTTGGGTGAGAAAGAAAGAACACAGCCTTGGACATCTACACTATCCAGTCAAGACAGATGGGTAGTCTAAGGCAAAGGAGGGTGATTCAGGACAGAGACGGAACTCCATGAATGACAGAAGAGCCCAGCCAATGGACTCAGTGTGCTTAAAAGTGGATGGTGTAAACACTGGTGAGGTAAAGGAGGAAGCAAATATCATGATAGTGAAGCAGTTCAGTCCCCCCAACAGCACAGGAATCACAAAGTGTGAGACAGGGAGAGCACGAAGGTAAGTTAGGAGCAGGAAGAGATGTTATAATGACTACTAATGCAGGAAATGAAGATGCAATTGGAAGAGTGACGAACGCAGAGGAATGAACAAATGAAAGTCCAGGAAGATAACAAATATCGATGGCAAGGGATAGCACAATTTTCCCCTTCAATCACACTGTCAATAGGCTATTACATTTGAAACAGCTTACAATTTGATAAACTTGCACTTACCTCTGTGATATTCTGGATTCACATTTTCATATATTGGAAACAAGGGATTTTCTTGTTCACTGCGAAGTTTTCTGGCTCTTAACACATCTCTCACACATTGATGTAAATACACATATTGACACTGGAACAGATTTTTTTTCTAAGTCATTTCAGAGAATTTTATAATTTCATTTTCTGCATTGTGAAAAATCATTGCAGGCTAACTCCCTCACACAAAATCAAGGGTGGTGTTAAAAATGAAAATATAATTCTATAATAATTTTCCTTTTGACACTAGTAACATAGTAATTTTTTGTGATTGCCTGTTTTTAGAAATGCTACCAGTAAAACACTACATAATAAGCTTTGACAGATCATGTAATGCGTGAAAGCTCTATCAACTTTAAGGCATAATTTGACATGATGCTGTGTTGGCTAGCTACTACTTCTCAATGTTTTGGTATAAAGTACATGTAACAATTAATATGTACATGAAAGCACACAGCAAAGACAAAAAAATTCCTGATTTTTTGTTCTGAAATCTCTTCCACAGAATTTTATCATAATATACAAATACTTCATAGAACTTTGAGCATATGCATTTCCTCCCCCCACATCTTCTTTACTTATTTTTCACAAGAAATTCAGCTATTACTCTATGCATTTTTCTCAGTGCTCTGGCTCTGGGGAAGTGAGATTGCCTGCTGTTATGCACATACGATTGCTGTCTCTGTGGAGCAGAATCCTGCACCCCACACACCAATTTGATGGAAAGCTGGCCAGGGCATGGAGACTTCCTTTAGCAGAGACCATTTGGGACTGAAATGGTGAACAGCTTCTCTGCCCATGTTACAGCTGCTGTGCTGAGCCCACTGCCTTTTGAGCTGATGGACAGTTTTCTGTTACGCCCCTGCATGTCTCCAGCTGCAGTCTTCCATCTTAAATAGCTTTCAGCCAAGTCTGATGCAGGGGCTGTTGTTTTTTGTTGCTGCTGTTTTGCTGTGACTGCATAATGTCAACCAGGATGGTGCTGTGACCTTTGGCTGGAGCACCTCATTGCAAACAGTCCTATCTGCTGGCCTCTGCTCCCCAGTGGGATTTGGCTTCCACCACATCAACAGATGGGGACCTAGCTTTTATTTCAACCCCTGAACAGATTATGGAAGTCAAGACATGAATGATTATCAACAGGATCTAGGGTCTTCGCACACATCAGATGGAGTTTGTGGAGCAGATATTTGCTTTCCCCTCTCCCCACCTCCTTTACTTTTTCTTAAAAGATGTGTAAGAATTACTTCATAATTCACTGCTCATTGCAAATTTGAATCATCATAAAACCCCAGGACAATTTACTTCATTTTCTTGCAGGAGGATGAGAGATTGTATTGCTTGTGCTCCAAGCTACCTGGATGAAAAGCAGTTCCAATCAGAAACCATATACAGATGCAACTGACAGTTCAGATTAATAAGACCTGCTGAGAATACAGCAGCTCAGTGGCTGTGCCAGACAAAGCTACATGGTCAGTCTACACGCATGTTACAGCTCAAATGGGGCGAGTATGAGTATGCTGCAAAAGCTTTCTGTCAACCTGTCTTGTATCTGGGATGCTGATTGTGAAGGGGTAGGACTGGTTACAACAGGGATTTGGGTAAGACTTCAGCCACTGCTGGTTTGGGGCAGAAGTGTATGTAGTGCTAGTAGTGGGAAGGTGAGGTGCCCCTCACTATTGCTGTATATGTTTTGCTTGGGTCTGGCTGCCTTTTGACCTAGATGTCACATCAAGCTCATGCCAAAAGTGGGCTTTGTGTCACACAATTTAGTTGTCTATAAGCCTCGTATCAAATTCAGGCTCTTGAGGTTATTTGCCTCTTTTTTCCAACTAGGGAAAAAGAGCCAGCCTCCTGAGATGCCTGTCTGCTGACTATGGCTGATGGAAATGTAGAAAGTGAAATATCTCTGTCTCTGAGGTTGCCCATACCAGGCTGAGAATCTGTCTCCCCTCCAACTGGAGGTCTGTGATTAAGATAGTTCCAGGAAATCTCTTGCATTCCCAGCTGAGGCTCTCTTTATACCCATGTGTGACTTTTACAACTATCAGGAAGTGCTGTCACTGATATTTTCATTTCCAAATTGCAGTAAAGAGCTCCATTAGTATCAAGCTACAGGCAGACTCTTCAAACTTGTTCTGATTCCTCTATTAACAGTTCAGAGAAAATGTAAACACTGTCTCTGTAACTTGCCTTTATTAAATCAGCTCCTGTTTAGCTGCTATTAGTGTAGTGACTTGCAGTTATAAAAAACACAGAAAGGAATCCCAAACACGTACTTTTTCTGTACTTTGAGAATAAATATACTTGCTTTGTTAGGACAATGCTGATCAACTTTTCAATACCATTAATGAAAATGACAGAGCAGCTCAATAAAAATGAACTGCAAAAGCCACAAGGTCACAGTACTTCAAGTTTTAAAATTATGTACATCTAATTTTCTTTTGCCCTCCATTCCTTTTTCCAATTACGTTGACCTATGCTTGTCTTCCAGACCTATCCCTGAAGGACCTATCTCTGCTCAAAGCTCATTTACTGGACACTGCACTAACACAACAATGTGCTGTTAAGTGTCTGCTGCGTAACACTGCTGGGGTGATTATGGGCCAGTTCCAGCAGGAGAAATCTACAGGAAGCATAGTTACCACTTGTCATGGTTTTGACCCACTGTATGAGAGCCAATGGAAACAATGCTGAACTAGAAATTCTCACAGAGCTAATATATATGTATCTAGTATTTTACAGCAGAGTAACTGTTAAGTGCTTTCAAGACCTTTAAGATGAGAGACTGATTATTATATACTGCAGCTGGTGTTGCTGTATTGTAGGCTATCCAAAACTTACCTCTGTTTGAACCATGTGAACCCGGTGTAGCCTCAGATCATGTACTGCTGAATAAATGTCAACAGTGTCCTTTGAATCCAGCTGCTGCAGAATTCGGTCCAGTGCAATGAATGTGCCAGTCCTGCCAACACCAGCACTGAAAAACAACCCAAAAGATTTAGAAGGATATGGATCAAAGCATTCACTACCTTCATGGGATACTCTGGTAAAGTTCAGATCTCCACGGTGAGAAGCTCATTGTTCAAATGGCATTTCTGGGACTTCAAACAGTGGAATATATAGTGGAATACGACGGAGGAAAGGATAGCAATGGCAGAGGTAACTCAGTTGCTGTCCTGTGGTAGTGTGCTCTCTCCTCTCCCCTGTATAAGCCATAAGCACCAGTGGGGGTTGTCATGGCTGCATCCAGCTTACTCTGGACTTTGAGCGATGGATGGCAACACCGTAGCCAAGGGCTGTCTGGAACAGTCAGCCTGTCATCTTGATGGTATGCAAATAATGAATGTAAGTCAATCATCTTACTCTATATAAAGCAGACAGCCCAGGGCCCACTGAGCTCTCCTGCACAGTAGTGCACTGCACACCAGGATCTCTCCTTGAGCAGGGATGCCTCTCAAGGTTACTCCTTGAGGTTGAGAGTGTACTTGCTGCAACAGATTCTGTAAAGTTTAGCATGCTAAACTTTAAAATTTTATCTACGTGATATAAAGGATTGATTGTGCATACATAATCCTTTAGTCAAAAACTGCTGACCAAGTCTGGGACTAGCATTGGATTCAGCTGCACCTAGACTCCTCTCTGAGAAGGAGAGTGACCGAGTACATGTGCCTTGGGAATGATTCTCTGATGTATCTAGAGACTTAAAGCCTCAGGTTCTCTATCTGGGAACTATCTCTCAGGTTCTGTGGCTGCCCATGGCCTACCAGGGATGGACATTTGTGACCTTCCCAACGGTACGCACAAAGGCTCTGTGCCATGGATCTTTTGCTGCCACACATACCTGCAGTGCACAATAGTTGGTCCTGTGTCTGGGGTCCTGTTGATATAATCCCTTACAGTTCTGACAAACTGGATCAGGGACTGGGTGGTCTCTGGCACACCATGATCTGGCCAGACAGTGTAGTGGAAGTGACGAATGAGCCTCGTTGAGTCAAGCTGCTCTTCCTGTTGGGATACAAAAGTGTGGGTCATCAGATGAGAGGAGGGGCACAACATGCACTTTCAGAGCAAATCCTACAGCTGCCACCAGAGATGAACTGGGCATGATGCAACTATGCTACAGCAGAAGAAATCTTCCTAATTTAGCCTTACAGGTGGTTTAAAACCAGTTAATTAAAAAAACCCCGCAAACATACACTGCAGATTTTAAACTCTCGTATTGTCCATTCTGGGAGCACTGATTCAGACAGCATCTCAACGATCAGGTCTCCATAGTACAAGGAATCCTGGTCAAGGGGCCAGTAGTGATCACACTTCACCTGCAGGGTCACAGAAAAAGGCAGACTGAGTGTCAGTAACAGCTATAAACAATACCTTTATCCAGCACTCGCAGAAGCAGACTTCAGACCTCCTATGTCTGGGGATGAAGGAAGAAAGGCAGCAGCTGAATTCAGAGAGAGATGCCACCTCCTGTTACGTTAGCTCAACAAACAGGGCCTGGGATTGGAATGGGCTAGGATGGGGCTTGGAAGTGGAAGTTCTCAACATAGATGTTTGTTATGTGGGGAATGGGAATCACTTCACTGACACCAACTCTTCTCAGTTCTGTTTGGATGAGAGCCAGGACTCACTGCCTGCTTCCCCACCTCCTACTGAGACACGACAGCAGGGTCCCACTCTGAGCAAGTGAGGTGCCAAAGGTGGCTGCCTGTCCTGCATCTGCTTTCACCATCTCAAGAAAAAATGGTAAACTGAAAGGAACTATTCCCATATGTACCACTAGATAATCATACTTCAAGTTTGTTTAATCTTTCTACAGATCTAGTCCCTGTCTTACAAATAGTATAGAATGTGGTCATACTTGGGAAGGTGGATTGCTGAGACAGCTAAATAACCTACTTTCACTTGCACTCAGACTGTTAAGTGTGTGAGTGGTTTCTTTGCTTACTACATCAGGGTTTATGCATGAGAGAGAATTCAATGTATTTAATTTGCTCTCTAGAGCTTATATTTAAAGTAGTAGTTGGTTGGAGTTGATGTGGTAAACAGGCATTTTTTGCTGGTGTTTGTCCTTCTGTATGCTTAAAGGGATTAATATTAGTACCAGTGAGCAAAATCCTGGATTAGAGACCAGAAGGTCTGAGCTCTGTTCCTAACTCTAGCATGCTGCATGATCTTGGGATGGTCACTGCACCACTTCACAGTCTTAATCTGTCTACAGTTTCTAGATTATACCTCTTATCTCTTACTGTATATCTCCTTGACTGAGGCCTTTGGCATTAGTGTGATGTAAATAACAAGCATAAACTTTTAAGAAATGTTAAACCAATAATTAATAATAAAGAAGAGTCACTGCTCACCCGGCCCTTCTCAACACACTGGGTTACCATGACAATGTTGTGAACATTTTGCTCCCATGCCATCTTCCAGAACTCATCTTTGGTGCCAGGCAAAGGGCCCTGAGTAGCTATGTATTCCCTGCGGAAATTATTGCCCTGCAAGTAAAAAGAACTCTATTACTTTCCATAAAGGCAGACAAAAAATTTTCTAGCAACTGAACAAACCATGGGGTTGCAGACAGGGCTCTGCAGCAACAATGCCTTTACTGGAACAATAGTTTTGAAAACTAAATTGTTGCCTTGGACCTGGAAGCTGGCTGGAACAGAGAGAAGGATGAGAGTGCTGCAGTTATCTAAATACTGTTCCTTTTGTGGCAGTATAAGCTTTTCATTGTTCTATTGTGTTCTGCACAGTCTCAAGCAATTTTGGAACTACCAGGGGTTTTTGTTTTATTTAGTTTTTAATAAATTAGCTGAAATCTGGGTTACTAAAGCTGCTGCTAGTATCAATCATAACTCTTTGGCAAATAGCATTATTTTAATCTCAGCCAGTTTCACCATCCTGCAAGGTGCCAACACTGTCGGGATGAGCTACTGCTCCACAATAAGGAAGCCACCTGCAGTGATAGCTATGGTTGTTGTGGACACTGTATAAAATCAGTGACCTTTAAAAATATGTCATTGGCCAATTAGAGCTGCTATCTTACAGAACTATAGCAATTCAAGAAAGTGTCCTTAAGTGCTCAGTAAATCACTCACAGTTAATTTAATGGCAGTCAGACACAGCCTTTCAGCACACCCACAAAATGAGTTCTCACACTTTTAGCTCAAGTGAATAAATGAAGGGTGAGCCTTAAGCAACCAGCTTTATATTCAGTTTTAGATGAAGGACAAATTACCACTGGAGGGAGGACTGTAAAATACCATCCTTGAGTCACTTACTGGTATGTAGCTTGCATTAATGTAGTCTGAGCAAGGGTCATCGTCTACATTGGAAAGCTTCACTCTTGATGTATCATCTAGGAAGAAATTGATTACAAGCGGCTTATGGCTAGGTCTTGATTTTTAGTCCCTCTCCCATTTACAGAAATGCATTTGTGAAAGGACTGTCAGCATTCTTACAAGGATTTTACATGGAGGGCTAATTTAGAGGGATAGCTGTCTATATTTTTACTGCCTTTTTCATCCACAAGTGGTGTGGAACGTTCCAAAGACTAGGAGATGGATGGGTAAGAAGGAAGCAGTGAATATCCCAAAATGCCTCTGCTGAGTTGCATACGATTTGTTATGGCAACAAGAGCCACAACAGCATCCTCCTTCGATTCTGACAGCAGTGTGCTGTACTGGAGAGCAGTGCCCAGCGCTACCCTTGAAAGAGCAGTAGTGCTTGAGTGTATTGCACAGCTCCTGAGCTAAACATGTGTGAGCAGGCCAAATGTCTTCCCTAGAAACAGAACCCTTTGTAGAGAGGTAGAGAGTGTCTAAGCAACTGGGTCACTGATTCGTGAGATAATGGCATGTTGGATCTCAGTCAGGTGTTGTTTCTTGTACATCGTGGGCATACTTCCCACCCTGGCACGGCAGGCAGAGCACAGGAGATGCTGCGAGGCTGTGCTCCAAGCACGCACCACATCCAGCCACAGGGCAGCATGTGGAGCAGTGACTCATGTAGTGTTCCTCCTCTATGCACCAGTGTGTTACCTCCACAACTGCCAGATAGGAGGTCAAAGGGGAAAACTCTCAAGTGACAGGTCTTGTCTCAGCAGAACAGGGCTAATCTCACACGTGTGTCTTACCATACCACACCAGCTCTACATTGTATAGTAGGTTTACTGTGTCCTCTAAAGAAGAAAGATTTACCAAGGCTGTCAAATGGCATGGAATGGATGATACCCCATATGTAAACAACCCTACTGTTATTTCTACTATCCTAGTTATCAGCAGTGACTGAATGTCCCTAAAAGCTGGGCCTTTTTCTCTCTAGACTGAATACTAGTCATTGCACCTCTAGTGCAAAATGAAATTACTGGTCTGTGTGAAGCCATTCAGGGCCATACATCATCTGCCTCCAAGCACCAGAACCTGAGCTGGCAGAGCTACTTCATCTCTGACAGGAAGGAGGGATGGGATTGGCTGCACTCACTTTTCCACTAGGCTTGCTGAAAAAAGAGAAAAATAGCTGGTGTGATGTAATATTACACAACCAAACCTAAAACTCACAGGGCAATATATTATTGTATCGATTTTTCCCTCTGTTCTCTGGCAGAAGTGCTATGTCACATGTCTGGTTTCGACCCACATCTTTCAAGTCCTGCAAAAAAAAGGAGGAATAAAATGTGAGGTGAAAATAATTAAAGGACATGACAACACAGGAGGACACAGTGCTTATCAGCTCTCAAAAGCCACAGAAAGGGAATGGGTGTTTTTTAAAACAAAACAAACTGAAATAAAATAGCTAATCATACTGGTTTAAAGCAACATGGCTGGCAGTTGCTTTCCATGCTTTATCACACAGATGTGCCACACAAATGCTCCTGACCTCAGCCAGATAGGTATCAGGCAGAGTCTGCTAATCAGAAGATGCTATGACAAATAAAGAGATGGTTTCTGTCTTAGGACAAGTGGCGTTCAGGTGAGACTTCCAAACTCATTTGGATTTGTGTGAATAAGACAAACAAATGCAGGCCTTTCCAATGCATTAATCTATTGATTCAGTCAGCCCTCCCCTTCATAAAGCAAGTCCTTTGCCTAGGTTAGGATCCCACCTCATACTCCTTGGACAGGAGGTAGTTGGAGTCTGCTTGAAGTTTGGTGAAGTGTGCTTCAAAATGGCTGACTTTGATCGGACTAAAATATTCAAGAGGAGGAAGAAAAGCACAGGATGAATCACAGTCATAATTTATCCAGTTGGCTATCAAGAAGCTTTTTTAGGAAATGATTTTTTCTTTTTACCTGGAAGTTTTCCGGTTCCTAGAAATAATTTCAAAAGAAAAAGAAACATTTCAAGAGTGAGTGACCAGATGGAACTGTTCATCCATGATGCCATGTTAAAATACTGCTCTTAGAAACAAAACTTTTGGTGTTACCCTTTTTGCCCCAAGTTCAGATGGACTGACAGTGGCCTGTCCCTGCGAATGCTCAGCCTTGATGTAGGTCTCTCGTGGCCATTGCTGGAATAAAAAGGAAGGTATTTTGTTTTACCATTATATTCTAATACTGCTAAGAGCTGGCAATAACAAAACCTACATTGGAAAAAAGTTGGCAAGTTGGAACAAAGGAATTTAAGAAAGTCTGGTCTGATTTGTGGTTTTGATTGTGTGATGTTGCTCTTAGCTGTGGTGCAGAGTTTTCTTGTATTTTAGTCTGGTAATAGTGATATGGAGTGTATGCACATGCACAGGCAGTAAATGCACATGCACAGGCAGTAAGACTTTCTTCTTGCTCTGAAACACTCACAGCCCAGCCTATCATTGAGGAGGGTGTCCTACGCTAAGACTGACCCTAAACTGGTTGATTGTCTACATGCAGAGAGGAACATGTAGGTAAATTTTCAGAGCTGTAAAAGGTCTACAGCTTCCAGCACACCAAGTGCAGACCAGGCCTCTAGGAGATGCCCAGGTTCACAGCGTAAGTAAGTGGCAGCACCACAGTAGGCTTTGAAAAAGTTGCAGAAGTGATATTGACTCCATACAGTTAGTGTTGCCTTTCATCCCTTCACTGCCATCTTTTCCTTCAATACACCTCCCCTAGAAAACACTTTGTGTGTAATGAGGGAAAACCATACTGGTATACTTGCAGTCCTGTTGGCTATATAACTCACAACAAGAAACCACACTCTATCTGAAGTTTATCTACACTAAAAAAATGCAATGAGACGTGCAAGGTGGAAAACACATCAATCTGCACTTCGCAGTCTGCTCTGTATGTAACAAAGTACTGAGATGGTTAGGAGCCCACAAGTCTATACGTGCAAAAGTAGGCTTTATTTACTATTGCTAATGATTTATGCCTCTGGTTTTTGGACCGCATATAGAGCTGAATTTGTTCACAGAGCCTAAGAATAGCATTGCTAAAGGGTAAATCCATGCCAGCTAAAAGCTATGACTAGTCAGAAAATAGGGATTTTTCAATGTGAAATTACAGCATCCGAAAAGCAAATTCAAAACACAATAGACCTAATCTTGTATCAGTAAAAGAAATGAATTTCAGATTTTCAGAGTTTCCCATGTAATTGAAACGTTGAATTTTCTTTATTTCAGAAACCACAAGGAACTTCACATCAGTAATGTCATATCTCTTTCAGTCATGCAATATGATTTAAATGGATAAGGCTTTTTTCAAAGTTGATATATAGTATTTGACTTTTTAAAATTCACTATTTCAGATGCATCTATTATGTGAAATAAACTATAGTTGACAAAAAAAAAAGTAAAGTTTGAACGAATCTTTTGGACACTGAGATAATGCCACACCTTAAGATTTTGGAACTGAAATGATAAGGTCTAAATTAGCAGTTTCAAGAGCTTCCCATCTACAATGCAGATGAAAATAATTGGAAACATTTCATTTTTGATAAAAGACAATCAGTTTGAATGATAAAACATACAGAAAATTAAAAGTTACAAAGATCTTCTATAAGATAATTCTGACCAATGTCAATAGGTATTTGAATCAAGTCTATATAGAACTCTTAATATGTAATTCATTAGTTCTATACTTAGTGTGTACAGATGCTGGGGCACATAGATGTTATCTGTGGAATAGTTCAGTGCATTCCTCCAATTTTACAGTTACACTTTAAATACTGTATTGCTTAAATGAATATAATTTGACTTGACAAATAACAGAGACTGATAAAAGGACTCAACTTACCTAACTTTCTGTCTGCAGACAAATAAAGCAGTAACAGCCACTAACATCACAATCAGAAACAAGCCAGCACTCACACCTTCAATAACTCCAAATAGAGGCTCTAGAAACAAAACAGTGTATTTATGTATCTTGAGGAAAAGATATGAAGAATCAAAAAATCAATAACTCTCAGCGGATATGTTATTTTCAGCTAAAGTAAATGGTTAAATACAGTGAAATGTAAGGCATTTTAACACTTAGCTAAAAACTGGCCTTCATTTTCTGTCCTTATTTTTTCCAAATGTTACACAAAATCTTTTACTCCCAACTACAGTACAAGAAACCACAGGCCCATTATATGGGAATCTTGAACTTTGAAGCTTTCTTGGTGATAGCTTCACCGAGTGTCCACCCTTCCCTCTATTGTCAGTAGCTCCATCAGTCCTCTGAATTTTCAAACTAAGGATGGATAAGCCATGGATCCAGCCTCATTTCAGAGCAATTTCAGAACATGCACAACAGTCTGGTTTTGTTTCACCCCTTGTTCTAGACATGTGAGTTTTGTTCCACCCACATAATTCTAGACATGTGAGTGTTCTGAGACACAATATATAATCACATGCTACAGTCATTGAAAAACAAGCCTGAAACTAACCTGCCTCTGTAGTGATTGGTAAAGAGAAGAAGGTGTCTGTAAAGAGCGGTGTAGGGAGTTCTCTCAGGTCTTCACTGAAGAGCTGGGTAAAAGCCCGTATGCTGATCCTAAAAGACCAGTACTGTTATATTTACAACTCATCAGATGTTCAGAACCAACAGCAGAAAAATAAGAACTCATTTGCCCCTTAGAAATAATTAAAACCTTTCCACTGAACATAGATGGCTTTAATGCAGGCACCTGAATTAAATACTATAGCTGGGAGAGCCCAGCTAGCATGGGTGGAGGGCCCTGAGGTACCCTGGAAGAGGTAACAGAAGGGGCTCTGGCTGCTGGCACACACAGCCTGACCGTGCTGGAGGCAGGACTAGCAGAAGCTGTAGTGAGGAAGAGTACTGAGAAATGCTCCTCAGTGGGAACATGTTTTTCCTTCACGTGTCTGGGCAGGGCTGTGATAATGGAGAAATGTTACAGTCCTGGTAACACGGGTATTTTCCTGGACTGAATTTCTGGGAAACATATCCTAATGAGAGCAGATTGTGGTAGGATAACACTGTCTTGATGATGATGAAGGAGAAGCTGAGAGGCATGATGTGTACTGTCTGGCAAACACCTTCTGTCCCTGTGGCTGTCCAGTGAGCCGACCTCTTGGGAGAGTGTTTGCCTGCGGGAGGGGCATGACTGAGCTGCACTGGAGACATTTAGTTTCACAGCCTGGGTAACTGCAGAGCCTGGTTTTGGCAGCTGCCCTTTTCTACACCTTACAGCTAACCTGGGCCTAGCTCTGGAGCCTGAGGATGGCACCACACATTAGAATAACCTCCATGTTTTTCTAGCTTGTTCCAAAGGACTGGTGTAGGGTAGTGGTGCCAAACAGACTTGAGTGAAGCATCTTTGCCTTCCGTTAAGTACTGTTTTGACTTAGCTGATGGTCTCAATTCTTTCCAAAGAAAGATTTAGCAGATATAGGAGAGCTCCCCATCAAGTTGAGAGAATGAAATAAACATATTCAATGCACAGAGTTTTGTGCATAATTAATCATAGCATTCCCATGCTAGTGAAGGACTGGTTCATACCTGTGGAACGAGGGCATGGGTAAAACTTTTATAAATTCAGTGAAACACAAAGAACATTGTATAACTCAAGTTATTAATCTACAGAAGCTCAAGTATATCAGGCATCCATACAGCTCCAGCCTAATAATGTGACAGAGCACAACTATCAACATATGGCTAACCTATAAGAAGTCCGAGGCTTTAGAGGTCCATCGCAGAATTTTTCATGATCTGGATCACACCTTCCTCCCAGATTTTCCATTTCTCCTCCAAGCTTAATGTCAAAGCTTTTATAGTCACTGTCAGGGTTTTCAGCACATCTACTGGCAAAGTAATTTGTCTGGTAGATGCGTATAGAGTCATTGTGTTTGTACTCCAGGTAGGAAGGTAATGGGTGCTGCTCATCAGGCTTTGGTCCTTCACTACCTACATCATGAGTACAGAAAGACAAAAGGTTTATATACCACGGTCATTAATGTGATGCAGTTTTAGGCTCAAGCTGTTGACAGACATATTCTTATCCAACTTCCTAGCATTTCTTGGAGGCTGCACAGGCTACCTTGTGAACACAAAGCCAAAGTGTTTAGGGTACCTTGTTTCTAGTACTAACCTTGCTATTATTTTTTGGGGGAACTTCAGACAGATTTCCTTACAAGACCTCACTGTAACTTTTCCAGATACAATGCTGCAATAGGCATGCACAGGTCAAATTCAATGCTATGACATTTTTTCCTGTGCTGTTGGTAGGAATGTCTGTGATCCAGAACGCTGAATCATACCATCAACTATTTCAAAAAGCCAGTAAAAAAAAAAACCCTACACTGCCAAGTCTACTGTATATAGAGAAAAGCTGCAATAGGAAATGACAGGAGTCCCCTGAGTGGAAACTTACAATAATGTGTAAAAGACTCAGGTAGGCAAAGTCATGGCAATGGGTAGACCCTTTCTCAAGGAGCTTTATAGTCTGCACAAACATGACAGAGTAGACAGTGGAAATATTATCTCTGCCTTTTTTCCCTAAGGGCTGATGGACAGAGAGATTAAGAAACTTTCTCAAGGGTCACAAAATACATTCTGGCATGCCAGTAAATGAAGCCACTTCTAAAGACAAAGTGTTAATTGTTGAGACATCCATCTGTTTTTGTCACATATAGGTCAACTGCAGAAAGGGAGGTTTACATGCATGCTACAGGGGCAATTTCTGTTCTGTTCTACGGTGCTGCATGCAAAGACATTTTCCTTAGTAAGCAAACACCACCTGGGAGATGCTACCTTTGCCTTCTCTGCGTGGCTTACTGAGATTCTCCAAAAGGGTTGCCATAGCATTCCCACCTAACACATGAACTATTTTTTGAGATCTGTGCGCAGCAAGGCAGTTAACTTCTGTGTTTACTGCCAATGGCATTGGACGTGCTCCTACTGTGGACATTTCCTGAACATACATGAAAGCGTAACCTAGAGTACAGAAGCTAACTACTGCTTTTGGATGAGTTCTGCCCTTGTTACTGACTCTCTGAGGAGACGACTGAGTTCCTCAGTCCCCAGGCTAGGGATCAGATATAGATCCAAAACCTCTATGAAACTCAGCTGCTAATGAGGCGAAGCTCCTTTGCTGTGTAGTGATAGGCGTGTACCTCCCCACGTAACTCCTATAGGCTATAGAGAGAACGGTATTAAAATCAGGACACTTACCATCAGCCTCTCTCACCACCACGGTAAAGTACTTCACAGCTCCATTAGTATCACTAAACCAGCTGCAGTTAAAAGTAAAGTTGATGGAGGATTTGGTAATCAGCACCTCTTTTTTGTTCACTCGTATATCTGGAGGTGGCTGAGGTGGACCTGAATAATTGAGGAAAAAAAATAAAGAGAAAGCATTATCTACGTATTTGCTGAGAGCTAGGCCTAGTAAGAGAAATGCAATTTGTAATAAAGCTTAGCTGACTGGACTCAAGTCTCTGTTCTGTTCTCTTTGCAATCAAGAAAGTGTCTGCATCTCCCACAGGGAAACTGCCAAAGGATGAAACAAGCCAGCAGTGCGTTAACCGTAGTAACAGTGGTAGCTCCTCAGCAGGAATTCCTACAGAAGCGCACATGGAAAGGCATTAAAGTCTTGCTAAATCTATGAAATCAGAAATTGTAACTGCTAAAAATGACACAAGTTTAAGCCAGGTATTTGGAAGCCACTTAGCACACTCACTACAGGAAGTTACCTATTTTAAGCATCTAAATTTCTGCTTGCTTTTCCAGAGGAACAGCCCTGAGTCAGCCAGACACAGTATTCAACTACAAAGTTCCATTTTCCAGAGTGATTGCAGAATTTCCATAGGAAATGCTCTTTGTATGATAGAACAGTGACACAGCTGAAGTAAACTAGAAAGTGAAGTACATATGGAAAAATCTTCAGAGGACCAATGCAGCAAAAGTGGGGATTTTAAGGATCTACATTGCTGAATCTTTTAAAAATCTGCATTACTGAAACTATATTGCATGTATGGGAAACATATCAAGTATGTAAGCAGGTGCCTAAACTTCAAAAGGTTTTAGATTTCAAAAAGAAGCAATAATTCACACATTTATATGTTGTTTAGATAAACCTCTTAGAACTACAAAGCCTAGCTGCAATTTTTTTGTGTTCTCTTGAGGGAGGGCCTCCAGTGTTAACCAGAGTCTGGGAGAGCAGCCCTGTTCTAAACAAATAAGAATGAATGTGAAACAGGCGACCTTCAGTCGTACTTCTTGTGACATGAGTAGCTAGTTCTTACTACATCTGAATTTTGTAGCATCCTTTGTGGTACAGGAAGGAGATGACATGGTTGCGATTAAAAGGCAATTGATGGGGGAAGGGAGAAGGTGGGTTGGTGACTGAACTCTGTAGCTTAGTTCACTAGCTCCCAAACCAAACATAATTTTTATGATCTAGCATTTCATACAAATGTGGCTTTTAATAAGCAGCTACAGAGGCATGCCTGACTACAGGTCTCCTGGTCATCCTGTCCTTTTGGGAAGTTTAGCCCTGGACTGCTTCAGGCCTCTATGTTGTGCTGTGCTGCTGAATCCAGAGGTACTGCAAAAATTGAAGCAGCTCTATGGCCAGCAACAGCAGGCTGTTGACCGTGGTGATGCCTGGCTGTGCAGAGGCACCTGCAGATGCTATCGCTACCCTCCACTCAGCAGCCTATGAGTGGAGAAATTGAAGAAGCCCTTTCAAAGTACATGCCATGGAAATCTGTTATCCTCCCTCAGGTATAACTCTTACAGGTGACTTGGTCAGGTAGCACCTCAGAAGAGTGCACAGAAATCCCTAAGTGGACCCAGTGCCACAATCCATTCTTACTGGTGGATATTTGTGCTGAGGACAGCTACCATCCATGAGGGGAAACAGCCAGGCACACAAAGCCAATCAGCAACCATGAAGATAACTAAAGGTATGTGATGATGAGGACATCTTTGCTGCTGAACACCCAAGTGACACAATAATTTGTCACGTTTCTTAGGGGTGTATTTCATGAATGAGCCAAATAAGCAGGTCTAGCAATGTAATGAGAGGCAAAATAGTTAAAATCTTGCATTGTTTGTCACAATGGGACCAAGGGACAGGTTCACTCTATTTTGGCCAGCAGATTACAAGTGCCACACATTGGCAGTTATGGAGTTCAGAACTCCTTCTGCTGTCTAACCAACATAAGCAATTGCTTATTGCTGCTCACTGCCTCCCTTCATGACAACTCTGAATTCCACTTACGGTCAATCATTGTGATGGTGCTGTCTTCAACTACTTCACTTGTCATGTCTGCAGAATGCACCTTGATGGACACCAGATACCGCTTGTGGGGAACGAGGGTCATGATACTAAGCAGAGATTTGTCTTTTTCTATCCTTTTAGAAAATTCCACTTCACGAGTGTCCATTTTTTTGCATTCGATGCTATATCCATCAAAGTCAGAATCAGGAGGAGTCCAGGAACATGCAATGGCAGTAGAGGTCTGGGGCCGACAATGAAGACTTTGTATCTTATCTGGTTCTAGAGGAATGTTGAGAAATTGAAGCTCAGTCGGAAAAGGGAGAGACATCATACACTCTCTGCTCACCCTATGGCCTCTAGATTCTACATCAACCGTTTGATCACAGCAGGAGGCTGGGAGCCAGAATTCCCACCTCTCCTGCAAATGTGGACTGCTTGATTATTAGGCAAGGCTGACAGTTAATTAACTCATTTCAGACATCTGAAAGCAGATCTAGTGACATCAGCCTCATCAAGTTTGTGAATATTCAGTAATTATTTGTGAAAACAAGCAAACAAAACTAATTGCTGAAGTCTTAACAAGAACAGCAATACTGCAAAACAATGGATTTCTACAACTCTGTTACAACTTATTTGGAAGTTACATGTGATCAACAGTATCAGTCAGTACTGATACTGTCATCTGATCTGGTTTCCTAGGTAGCATGTGGTGTGTCCATGTTACTAAACACACCACTGAAGTATGCTTTATCCATGTAATATTGGAGTAGTGTTTATAACATGTAACAAAGATAGGATTTCCCTTTCAGGTGGCAGACATCTATGTTTAAGTGATTAAATACAGGTGGTAGTTATCCTCTTATTTTAATTAATATGCCAAATAAATTCTAAAGAGGAATTCAGCTTACCAAACACAGTTGTCAATTTGGAGCTGAATCCCACCCCAAGTGACATAAGGGTTTGTCAACACTGTTATTTTTACAATTTCAGGTCACTTTTTCAAATCAGTCTACTACTGAGGTTGCTAGAGAGCTAGAGATGATGTGGATCCACAGACATGGACTGAAACATGGACAGAGCAGTGAAACACTCTGCTTCCAGTTTCAAATCTAGTATAGCAGGGTTTCATTCATCTTCCTGTCTGATTGTTCAGATAGATTTTGATTATTTCAATATCCTCCTGTCAGAGAAGTCTGGATATTCAGCCTTAACTGATTGATTCAGGCTCTGAGACCAAACAGCCCCTCCCTTTCTGGATGTGAAGACTGTAAATATATGTTCATTTTCAATCTTTAAACAGTTGACCTTGCACACAGCAAGGGCTTAAAATCTAGCTGAATTCACTGCTGTCATTCATGCATTTATTAATGGAAATTACTGACTGTGAAACAAATTGGTAAGATTTAACAGTTTTGCATCTTCTCGAACTGAGTGTTAGAATGCAATGGAAATTGTTACTTACTTGTTCTCACACTTGCAGACTGTGACTGACTGTATGTCTTCCAGCTGTCACCACTGACAGTTCTGACACTGAACTCATAGAGTCTTCCTGGTCGCAGGCCATAGATGATGCGTACTTTAGATTTGCTGCTGCTGTATGGATTGAATACTGTAAGGGGATCCTTTGGAAACCACTGCAACTCAAAATCGTCATAGTCTGTCCAGTCTGGAGGACCCAGCCAAGTGATTGATAAAGAAGTGTTTGCAACATCAGTAAATGATACAGTGTTAGGAGCACTAGGTGCTACACAGAAAGGGAGGAAAAGGAAAAAAAAAAAAAAAAGAGATTCTTAACAAATTTTTACACAAGGTGAAACACACATTATTTTCTTCATGCATCACAAAGTGGTTTATATTATCCCACGTACACAGCCAGTTACTGCATGTGTGTTGATGGTAGTGACTTTCACAGACATTACATATTCCTGAGCCTTTGAAAGAAGAGTGCTGAACAAAATCGCCCTACATTGGCTTAATGCCCTTAAGGATATCCTTTATCTTTACACTTTCAGTGACAATAAATCCTCTCTCAGAATGTCTGTTGCATAGTTGAGAACTAATATGAATTCTGACAGATGGGTCTAAACAAAAATCCCAAAGCTTTTGTGTCTTCTACCTGTTCTTCCTTCAGTGTTTGCTGTGTTGGTCAGGTCACCGCTGTGAGTCACCACAACCAGAGTGTACTTTCTGCCAGGAATGAGCCCCTGGAAATGCCACTCTTTCAGGTCTTTCTTGTGCCATGTTTCTTTCTGTGTCCCATTTGGGTTGTAAAGATTCAGCTCATAGAAATCAACATCTCCTGCCGCTGGAGCCCAGGTGAACCACAGACTGTCTGTCATGTTTCGGTTGGATGCTTTGAGACCAACAACTGGGGCTGGTACTGAAAAAAGGGGATAAATATTACTTTATGTAGAACATCCTTAGGGTGAGGAGAAGCAACAAGGTCAATCAGACCTTACACTTATCCTGTAACGACAGTCATGTAATAAACTAGACAGCCACCACAGCTGGCCAAAAAGCCAGGAAGCATCAGGAAGTATATCTCAATAGTTTCCTTCCTTATTTTGAACTGCCACTGTCCCCCCAAAAGAGGCTGAAATGTTTATAATAGATAGTTTCGCAAATGTTAAACAACTTTTTTGCAGTCAGTGTCTGGAAACATCCAATTCTGAGGTAGCTGAAGAAAGTGCGCCACTGTCCAGAGGCAGTCCTACACAGGGTTTACTATATGGTGCCTCAGAGGATAAAGGTTTCACAAGAGTGTCAGGGCTGCTAGAGCTGCTTAGGAAACTCTGCTTCCCACATGTGGCTGAACAAACAGAGCTGAAGCCAGAGCTCCCCACGGGAAACAACTTTTATTTCTCTGGTATACTGTCTACCCCATTAAACCTACTTGCTTTGACTATTGCACTCATAGACGAATATTACTTTCAGGATGGGAGACAGCTGTTTTGCTTTAAGGCTTAAGCAGCATACATTAGGATGTCCTTCTCCCAACCTGAGTACCTGGAAACTATTGTAAAGGTCTTTGCTTCATTTTACCTATTCTAATCACATCATTCAGAATTTACCTTGTTACTAGTCTAATGCTTTTCATGTATAAGAGCTAATTTTGATACTTCTCATAGTTCTGATCTAGCATGAGCATCAGACTCAGACCAGATCACTGGTGTCCCCCATGAGCACCACACTAGAGACAGATGGTTTTCTTAGACATTCTTGCCTGTTCTTCCAAAGACAGACGACTCGTTAGTGAGGTCTCCACTGTGGGTAACAATGACCATTCGATACATCCTGCCTTGCCGCAGGTTCTGGAATGAACACTGATGAAGGTGCTGCTCTCCTGAAATCCTGGCATGAAGGGACTTGTCTGGGTTGTATAGGAAGATGTCATATGAATCAAGTTCCCCTTGTGAGGTGGTCCAGCTGAAGGACAGTCGGTCAGTGGTGTTCTCTGTGACCTTCAGATTTGTGACAGCTGCTGGAACTGTAAAGAAGGATAAATGCAAGAGTAAATATCAAGGTGTTTAGCCACTAAGCTGAACCTTTAATAAAGTAACAACTCATGGCTGGAACACATTTCAATTAAGCCACAAGTAGCTAAGTAATGTCAACAGCAACTTTCAGAAGCAAGGGAAAAACATTCATGACATGCGACTGAGTCTCTCCAATACAAAGTTTTATGTCCCAGCAGGCCTGGTTCTCCACTCTGTGCGTACATGGAACCGTCCATCAGTTTCTACAAGGAGCTTTGAGTAAAGACTGCAAGACTTGGCTCTAAGTTTAGAGGTCTGTATTCACATCAAATCCTGCACTAAAAGCCCTGAGATTGTGAATTAAAAGCTTGATGACAATAAAGCATTTGGGTAGTTCCATAACAGATAGACTGAGGAAAGCACTCAGCACTTTAATATCCTTATTATGAACCATGGCCACATTATTATGCTAACAAATTTTAGATTCACATACCAAGCACATATCAGGAAGAATACTGCATAAATATCTGGAGCCTGCTCCAACTAGAATCTTTCCAGAATCAAGATATACAGATGATTCATATATTTAATGAGATCTGACTGAGGGAACTATAAATAAACCAAGATGTTCTAATTACCTGTTCGACCAACAGTTTCTGCTCGTTTACTGAAGAGTCCACCACTGACTGTCAAAACTTGTATTTTATACTTCTTGCCAGCTAATAAATCTTCAAATTTGTGCTGTTTGGCAGTAGCTGGCTCTGATTTGTTGCTCAGGATGATTCCTTGCTCGTTCAAGAGCAGAATGTCATACCTTTCAGCTACACCAGGAGCTTTCTGCCAGGTTACTAACAAGGAATGACTGCTGTAAGCATGATGGGCTAGTAATTCCTGGACAGAGGCTGGAACTGGAAGCAACAATTAAAGGCAGGACATTACCAGGTGAAATATGGACCATTCTATACACAACTGTGAATACAGTAATTACTAGAAAATATCTTTATACTTTCGCATGTTCAGCTGTGGGAAAAGGAATGTCTGTACATGTGTCTACCCAAGCAAATAATTCCTAGACATAAACACAATCAGATGAAGTTACAGAGCATCACGGAAATTTGAATTGAACATGGAGAAGCTATAGAGATATAAAAGTTATCATGAAAAGAGGGAGAAGGAGAGTCAGATGAACTGACTGAAACACTTAAGATACGTGAAAAAGAACTGAAAACTAAAGAAGTGGTAAACTGGTGCAAAATTGTGACACAGAATAGAAAATGTTAGCCAGCACCTGTTGCACAAAAGTCAAGGCCACAGCAAACATATGCAGGGGATTAAAAACAAGGTGTTCCACTGTTTCGTGTGTTCCAACATGCAGTATACTGTGGCAATACGTTGTCTAACAAGCCTTGACCATGCAATGGGCTCTGCTAGAACACAGTATTTGACTACATGAGGCCCTGCAGATATATGTGTTGGACTGGTACAGGCACAGGACTGGGGAGGGATAGAACTGCATTCACCCTATGAAGTCACACTTTAGACTGGGGACTTGAATTCTATACACATTCACCCAAGTAATGTTACTCACATGACAGATCTCACTGGTATTAACAGAGTCATGCCTAACTGTTTGCAAGAGTGAGGACTCATGCTCTTTGATATAAAAACTTCTCATGAGTCTGGGTGTTCCCATATCCAGTGGTACATTCATAAACATTATTAAATAAGGGTCAGCTTCTGGGAAGACATAATGTGACGTGCTCCTTGTCTCAAAAGAAACGTACTTGTTCTCCCAAAAGCTGCTAAGCTGTTGTGCAAGGTGCCACTGTTAGATTGCACCACCACCCGGTACTGCTCCCCAGCTTCCAACTTGTGAAACATGTGCTCAGAGACGTGTTTGGAGACACTCTGAGAATCAAGCTGATGGTTTTGTTGAAATATAGTCACTGTGTAGGAATCAACATCTCCACCTCCAGGAGTCCAGCTCACTTTCAGGCTGTTTGTCATCCCATTAGGTGACACATGAATGTTTCTGACCACACTTGGAACTGTAAAAAAAAAGGGAACACAAAGACACCTGCTCAGAAATTGCCTGATTGACTCAGACTTTTTAATTCCTACATTTTTATGGCCACAATAAATGATTCAAAGGACAAACAGCATTTACAGGTACAAGTAATTTCACTCATGGATAAACATAAGTAAAGCTGAAAACATTTATGTAGGATTGTGCCATTTTAGAAAAGAAATTCTGTGTGTTTACAGGAAAGTAAAGAAAACGTAGGTTAACAGAAGAAAGTTTCGATGTTCTTTTATCTGTACAACCTCCCTCTTCTCCAAATTATGTTTTAGAAACATTTCAGAAAATCAAAGCTCTTTATGTACACTTAGTTAGCTGTTTTGCAGTTATAATCTCACCCATTCATTTCAGGTGGGTAAACAGAGGCATAAAATAGCTTCAGTGATTTAGCTAGAGATAATGAGCAAACAACTGGCATGCATAGTAATAACAGAAACCCAAACACTGACATCTCAGTACCATTCCTATGCAACAAATCAGATTATCTGCCAACAATCAAATATTGGTATCAATGACATTTGTTTATTAAGCACAGATCAAGTTGGCTGAAGTACTAGTGTGATTTTTAATGACATCTGCTGTCTTTGTGCCAGTGTTATAGGAGGTCAAATAAGATTTTTTTGTGCTTCATTTTTTCCTCTAGTGAAGCCTCAACACATTTTAAATACAACATTATTTCTTACTTGTCAGGCCTTCTATGAAAGTAGCACGTTGTGCATCTCCACTGATGGTCAAGACAAGAATTTTGTATAGACGTCCTGGAGTCAGAGCTGTGAACCAATACTCCTCAATGGTGTTCCCAAGGAAAATGGGTGGGAAGATCTTCATATCATTGAAGAGGAGCTGAATCTCATATTTATCAACATCTCCCTCAGCCTTTGACCAAGTTACCTGCAGATCTTCTGTGCTCCTGTTACTAAGAATCAGTTCCTTCACTGACTCTGGCACTGAAGAGGTGAGAAGAAAGGTAGGAAACTTCTCAGTACTTATTACTAGATGACAGTAAAAAGATAACAGATCTGAATCCATGCTCCTGAGCTAAAACTTTTTCAATTTCCTAGGAAAAGCAGTAGACTGCACGTATTTGCAAGGGTTGCTGTTTGTAGTTTGCACCATATCTAGCACTGGAAGGACCCATTTCAGAACAGGGAATCCACAATCTACCATCAATAAATGAATAATACCAGACCCTGCAGGGAGTTTGCATAGCCAGTAAAAACTGAGTAAGATCTGTATGTACAACAACTGTGGTGCAAAGAGGCCTGAGCTAGTGGAGACCCGAGGCAATCCATCTATGCCATGCAGCACCACACTGTGCAGTTCCCAATCATTTTTTTTTGCTCAGGGCTACATTGGTGTTAATAAACTCTGTGTCTTAGCATGGCTCATTAGCTTACCTGTAGGGCTAGATGAGGACAGGCAGATTGCATCCAGACTGCTGCTGGCTCACAACTAGCCACCTTACCACTCTCACCCCATGATCTCCAACTCCAGTTCTTGGGGTAATTTCAGTAGAGTGAGGTCTAGCCTATCTTACTCCTTACACATTTCCATGACCACAAAAAACTGACTTGTACATTCTGGCATAGTTTAAAATATTAAGTTTATGTGGAAATCGGTGCAACTAGTTTTGTTTTCCATGTTTCAAGATTTGCTTTCCAAGTTCATGGCACAGGTCTCTTCTTTCACTTACTGTATGACTGTAACTTAAACATTGATCATAAACTAAATAATGCTTTCCATATTTGGAATGACACACATTTAAAGAGTCACACTCAACACTCCATGTTAAAATCATACCATATTTTTGAGACCAGGTATGGTAAATAGAAAAAAAATCCTGGAGTGTCTCAGGATGTTTCCTGGGTGTTTACTTACTTGTTCTGCCATAGATCCTTTCACTAGTTTCATATTTCCCACTCCGTGTACTGACTGTGACACTGTACTGCCTCCCTGGGACCAGATTAGTGAACACACATTCATTTTCATCCTTTGGGACACTTTTTGTTTGGATGAAATCATTGTTGTTCTTGATGATTACTTCATAATTATCAAAATATCCAGAGGCATGTAACCAGGACACCTTCAAGTAGTCACTTCTGGCTGAATTGCTGACAGTAAGTCCCTGAACACTTGAAGGGACTGCAAGAAAAAATACAATTAAAGATCTAGAAAGCAATAACTTCCTGAAGTAACAGTAGTTGCTGTAGTGGACTATATCTGTGGTAATTAGCAGGCTTTTCTGAGGAAGTTGCAAAAAGACCACAATGTGGATTTAAGCAATACCCTACTCTCTAAAATAGTAACTGCAGTTTACAGGCTGCTTTACGTCACATGACAATGGTTTGCCTTTCCAATTTTTGGTCTTTTGGAACCTGGTCAGTTTTGCTTATAGCAGTGAGTTCCACAGGTTCACACTAATCCTGAATTTGCTTCTCCTCATTTAAATGGCTGTCACTTGTATTTTCACTTACATCATGAGATGACTAGAATTGCACTAACGTGATATTTTTTGTCGTTTTAACACCACTTAATATCTTTATTTTATTCTATTGGTTTATCAAGTGTAAAGTCTCAGTCTTTTTAATCTTTGAGGAAATTTCTATCATTATTGCCACCCTTCTCTGAAATTTCTCTACTTCTGTTATAATCTCCTTGAACACTGCATGACCAAAATGACAGACGTGGATGTTACATAACTAAAACCAAGACATGGGTGTTACTCATTTATGTGACATTTTACTAGTATTTTAGTAGTTAGCCTATCCTATCCCTTTCTTTCAGTGTTTAAGTAACTTTTTGGGGACATGCTCTGCAGGATATACTTGACAAGCCAAGTAGAGGGGTTAAGGGCAGGAAAATGCATTTGAGCCAAAACGGATACATGATTTCTGCTCACTCACAAGGACTGACACATGACTTCTATTCATGCTGAAGTAATTTTTTATGATATAAAGCAGCAGTCGGGGCATTAAGAATAAAACTAAGTCTGTAAAGCTGTAACTTTATGGTTTGACCCTCCAACCCCTACTCACCCATCCCAGTTCGGTCAGATATTGAAAGCGCATTGATAACAGCTATACAAAGTGGTTATGGTGACTTGATTTGCTCAGAGGCTCTCTTTACCTGTTCGTTCCTGGCCAAAGGAATAATTTTCATACTTCCCACTCTTTGTGGTTATCATCACATTGTAAAGCGTCCCAGGAGTAAGGCTGCTGAAGGAGCATTCACTGAAGGATTTGGAAATGGTGAGAGTCTGAACAATCTGGTCATCGTGAGAGAGTGTTACCAAATAACTGTCCACATCTCCAGAAGCTGGCAGCCAAGAAACACTGAGGTAGTCACTGCGACCTGAGTTATTTACTGTTACTCCAGTCACACTGGAAGGAACTGTGCAACAAAAAGGAAAAAACAGAAGTGCTTTAACTAGCCAATTCCTATTGTTGTGAAAATGCCTGGAATGCCACCCTGCAAAATAAGCAGTCTGGGACTCCTGAGCAGTTCTGCACTGACTCCTACTCAGCAGCACTCATCTGCTTTTTTGAACACAGTAATGGAAACTGTCTTTGGTGGTACTATCCCAGCACTTCTAAAATCCCAAAAGATGAGTTATCCTCTCAAATTGACGTTCAACAGTAATAGCAGTAACTACTGAGGCTTATATGAAGTTGAGGCCCATGGCAGAATGTTTCATTTACAATGAGTTCTCTGACGCCTAGTGGCTAAAACATGAATGCAATTTGTTTCTCAAGCCAGCAAGGTGAGCTCAAAGGCTCCACATTGCCAGAACTACCACCACTCAGGTACAAAACTATCAGTTATTACAGGAGTAGACCTTAATCATAATGAACTGCCACACTTTCACTGGACTCTGAGGTACCAAACTGACTTACCTCTGTAGAGGGGCTGGGTATCAGCTGTCAAAAAAACTAGAAGATTTTGCAGAATATGTTTATGTACTTTGGGCCTTTTAGCGTTATTCTTCTCCAATTGTTTTTCTTTTTTTTAACCTGAAAATAGTTGTTTTCAAGGAGAACATTGAGGCAAATGCCTGGCCTTTGCCAAATTCACATAAAGGGTGAAACTGCACTGTGTTGTCAATTTTTCCCTCTATCTAAATATCTGAAGGACTGGTATTACATTTTATGAGTCATAAACTTACAGAATTTGATGCAATAGTAAATTTTGTCCTATGCAGTATAGAAGGGCCTCATAATGAGTAATTAACCCTGGTGGACATTCTTTAATGGATTGGAGAAAAAGAATGGGTTATAAGAGACTGAGACATAAATTCATCACACCACCTTTAGGCAGCTGATTTGTATACCTACGTAAGGAGCAATCGCCCTATGCTGTCATCTAGTCAATGGAATAAGAAAGTTCCTTCCAAGGAGTGATTCACCCACCATAGCTGTAATCACTCTCAGGGCATATTTTTGTCTTCACTACAGAGTGATCCTGCTGTACATTGTTCCTCTGGTAGGTAGAGCATTTAGCTCCCTAAAGCTATGTTAACATGAATCTGGACCCACAGTGTGCCTGGGGTCACAGACAGGAATTATATGGCTGAAACTCATGTATTTCTGAATTCTCAGTGCAGTGAGTGGCTTAATCACAAGACCATTCTCTTCGATAAATTCAGCTTTTAGGAACAGACAAAAGACATGCTGGAGTATTGTCCTTTTTTTTACCTGTCCTCCCCTCTGCAATTGTTTGCCTTGAAGATATCCCCCCACTGACAGTAGTGACAACAACTGAATAGAGTCCTCCAGGTTTCAGGGGGTAGAAGTGATATCTGTTGGTTTCACTGGGAACAGTCTCATTTTTAATGACAACATTCTCATAAATCAATAGCACTTGGTATGAGTCTACATCTCCCAGTGCTCTTGTCCAGTTGGTAAACAAGCTGTTGGTTGATCCCTGACTTGCCACAGTCAGAGCAGTCACTTGGGCTGGCACTGCAAAGGAAAGTGTCATAATGTTACTGAGGACAAACAAAATAAAACAAAACAAAATCCCCCAAATAACCCAAGATTAGTCACACTGAGGAAGTGCATCAAAAGAACATTCCAATTTGCAGCCAGACTCAACAGGACTAAAAATAATCTGTGGACTGCTTCCTGTCTGATGGGATGTGGTCTATGGGAAACTATCTAAGGCACAGAAAGGTCTTTCACACTTTAGCACAGCTTTTCTCAGTCAGACCAAAATGATTCAAGATCAGAGAACTGGAAGAGATGGCATTTTATAAATATCAGTAAACAAAAGCCATCAATTTGGGAAATCACTTGGGTTTTTTTATGAGTACTTCAAATACAGTCTGTGTCTTTCATTCTCCCTTTCGTTTCCTATGCACCATCTCTCATTCCTATTAAATGGCAAACTAGTTTGATGAATACCTCAGCCACAGCCATCTATACCTCAGAGAGGTGTCAGACCCTTTAATTTTGGGGGTAACTGAGGTGGATGGTTTTGGTTTTACTTTTTACATGAGAAGATCTGCAGGATACTAACTTGTCTAGCACCAAAAGATGAATTAATTGTTAAAGAAACATAACATTTATCTAAGTTCATGAACTTAGCCAGGCCAAAAAGGAAAAAGAAAGAACAAAAGGAATGTACTAGGTAACATGAATTTTACCCAAAATACTTTTTTTTTTTTTTTTAGACAATATTAGGTCAAACAAGGAAATACAGTTACTTCTAAGTATTTCTGCTTACATGATGAAGCACAACTGAAATAAAGAACATTAACTTTACAAAATGTGATTTCAAGTTTCATTTCTTGTTTTATATAAACGTTTTTGCACACACATTACTGGATTAGCAATCATTAACATGTTAGAAAATTGGGCACATAGCTGAAAAAAATATAATGTTGATAAAAAAACTAAATAAAAAATCCTACCTGTTTTACAATGCTGTCATAACATAGTAAGCTCCAACAAGACACTGAAGTGCCACATTTCTGTGCTAAAGTCACTTTTAGTGATACCTCAGGCTTCACTAGAAGCTGATGAATCTGGGATGCATGTATAGACCTATTTCTGTCATTTACAGCAATATTTTGCAAGCCTAGTAGGCTGTCCTATGGCAAAGAAGATTCAGAGGTTTGGAATGCATAGTAAGACCTACATTCAAATTCACTGACATTTGTTCTTTATCACTTTGAATGCAAAGTTGACACACTATCCCTGCCTGATGTGTTTTCAAGTATTGATTCATACTAGTGAAGTGGGACACTGTAACCTTTATGCCTGAATAGGTCTCCTAAAGGGGCAGAAGGAAATGAAATCCCAGCTATCTAATCACATAGTAGAGAAATGAAAGTTTAAGTCAAACTTTTCAGGCCTTGGAAGGAGTTACAACATTTAAGTAAGGACCACTATCAAGCCATAGGCATGGTTAGATTTATGTACTAGCAGCTTGTTTTTCTGGACCAGAGCAACATTTTAAGACTGCTTGCCCTGAAGAATGAGTAAGTCAAGCAGAGTAAAGCAACACATATGGTTTAAAGCTTGTACACGTGCACAAAATTAGCACCCTGCAGGGGGTGGGAGTGGGACCTTCTTTGTGTCACAGTCATCATCCTAAGTAACAGATACAGATACTGGAATCAGAAAAGCAGAGAGCGATTCAAAATACATTTTCAAGGTCGCATATGTTTTGTGTCTGTCAGCCTTGGAATGTTTCCTCTAAATCAACATTTTCCTGTGTGGTAGTGTTTTGGGTTCGTTGGTTGTTTTTTTTTTTTCCCAGATGATGAATGCTTTGAATCAAGGAAATGACCTTCCTGAAGATACCCAGTGAAAATTGTTCTTCTTATATGGAATCTTGTGCTAATGTAGACTGATCAGACATGACAGAATATTTCAGAAAACTGTTTTGCCAGGAATTACATATGCATTTCCAGAAAACCTTAAATAAATACTGCAGGATAACTGACAGAAATGAGAGACTCAGAAACATATTCTATTGAAGAAACAAATGTAGATTCAAGACTCTTGAGATTTAGACACTGAGTTCATTCAGTTGACTACAAGACAAATAAAGTTGTTAATGGTTAACAGAATTAAAGATTAAAATAGTTTGACAGGATGATACCTGTTCTTCCTTCCACTGAAGTCCAGTTGCTTAAAATCCCACTAATAGTAGTGATGGTAGCTGTGTATTTTCTTCCAGGTACCAAGTCAGTGAATGTGAATTCCTTAGCTTCTTTTGCAAGTCCTTTTTTTATGACAGCAAGATCCCTGTCTCCCAGTGAAACCACATATCTGTCCCATTCCGCAACAGGGGTCATCCACATGACACTAAGTGAAGATTCATTAGCATGCTTCACACGGAGCTGGAGAACAGGCTCTGGAGCTGTAAAAGTACACAAATATCACAATGAGAACAGGACTTTGTAGTGAATGCTCATGCCATATCTCAAGCTGCTGTAAGGAATTTGTTCTGTAAGGCTGAAATGTGACAGCAACAAAGTATTTATAATCAAGAGGAGATTCTTTACCTTCCTCTAGGAAGCCAGTGTTACAAATCTAGTATTTGTGCTACTCTTCCAGTAAAGGGCTGTAGCAGCAGACTTCAGCAATGCATTATGGCTGTAATCTAAGGTTTATACTTATGTCAGGATATATATTTTAGTATGAATGGAAATGCAGTGAAATCAGTGAGCTTCCTCTTGAACTGTCATGCTAGACAGGGTCATAAAACATTTGTACCATAAAACATATCTACACCAATTTAGCTGAAACAAACAAGGATGCAAAATATAAGGTCAGAGTGACATTGATTCTGCACTGGTTCATATCTCAGTCAACTTGGGAGACACTTCAATCTTATGGTGGCATAGAAGAAAATCTGACTAGTGAAATTCTCTGTGTGTATGTGCATGCACACAGAGGGCATCTGTTAACTAATGTAGTTTCCTCATCTGATTTTATCCCTGTTATGTTGAAATACAACTCACTTTCCAAGACTATGGGTTTATGTAAGAGAAAATTAATTCAGAATAGGGCCTAATACCTATGCTTCATAACAGATACATTATGTACCTGACCGTGGGTTGTGATATATAGTTGTGATATACCCTCTGCCTGGATTTTATTTATTGGACCTTGCTCTAATTGCTTAGCTGTGTCAATTAAAAGTAACACCATAAACTTAAATTATTTGTAATGTATATCAAAGTAAGCAAGATGAGAATGTGCCTTGCTCTGATCAAGCTGGCTAGAAGTTAGAGAAAGCTTCAGTTCTGTAGCTTTTACTGGTCTTGCCATTGAGCAAAATTAAAAAAATTAAGCTGTCAGGGAATGACAGGTAAGTGTGTACAGGAAAGGCGGGCATAAGGAAGGATGAGGATGAAGTAGGATGGCCCTATCTTATCTCACATTCTCCAGTGAGATAAGGCTCAGGCTTGAAGTGTTGCCTGATACTCCTCCTCCAAGTGTTCTTTTCCTCTGAACTGCACTTATTTTGCATTCATAGAGCAGAAACATTAACAATTATATTGCAATTATTTTTTATGTTTGAAGCAATCAGATGCGGCTTTGACTAATATGCTGCAAAAGAATTCCGTTCATGTCCCTGCAGCATATATGGATTTCCTTTGGAAAGGCTGACTTGAACAGACTAACTCCATTTTATTTCTGGAGCACAGGAACAAGAACTGGGATGTTATGGAACAGGCACACCGAGATACACCTCAGTCAGCTTTGGTTAATGGCACTGATATTCTTTATACAGGCTGGCAAGGAAACCAGTTTGCTACTGAAAGTGATGAACAATGCAGGAGGATCTATATTGCTCTCTTTAAGAACTATATAGGGCGCCTACAATCAGCTAAAATATATAACAGTGAAATGTTGTCTGATGCCTCAGTCATGACAGAATGGTGATATAATTACCCAAACTTTCACTAACAAAACACTTACTGCAAAAATAACCCTTAAAGTTTTCACAGGACTGGTAAAAATAATTATTTTTGTTGTTTACAAGGGAGCTCCTTTTTACTGTATTAAAAGTGAAATTCATCTGCAGATTCCCAAGTGCTTTTTCTGTCCACAGAGCCCAGATGAACATTTTTCATTTTCCCACTTCCTGGATGAGCACGCTGACCTGTTCTCCCCGTGCAGCTAGTCTTGCTCTGCAAATCGCCACTCTCCACGATGACGTCCACATTGTACTGCCTCCCTGGGATGAGGCCCACGTCGGGGATGAGGTATTCGGTGGTGTCCTTCTCGAGAGTGGTGTTGAGCACCAGGGCCGAGCTGTTCCACAGGAGCAGGCGGTACCTCTCCCAGTCTCCCGCAGGGGGCAGCCAGTTCACTCGCAGGGACCTCAGCCACCCACCACCACCGGCTTTCAGCTCAGAAACTTTCTGGGGAACTGAAATACAGAGATTGAGAGAGTAATTCTGAAGCGGGGTATTTCTGGTAAGACGTAACTGCACGCTGGCAAAACCTGTCTCGCGGCATAGCTATTGTAGAAGTACCTGGATCACAGAACCACAGAACCGTTCTGACCCTTGGGATCATTGAGTCCAACCATCAGCCCTACTCTACAAAGTTCTCCCCTACACCATATCCCCCAACATTTCATCTAAACGACCCTTAAACACATCCAGGGATGGAGGTATCTTGTTATAAAGGTTGGCATTCATTTTAAAGAATGAAAATTTTTACTCTTACCCACACAAACCACTCACTTTTTCACTGTTGGTTTCTGACATCAGAAATGGGGAACCTTTCTTAGGGTAGACAAAATCTCCCCCATGGACTTCTCAGATACATCTTGCAATTTTCAGTTAGCTTCCCCTTTTTGTCCTGGACTTAAGTTCACTTAGAAACGGTCTCAGCAGCAGAAATGCAAAATCTGATGGCTTCTTCCACAAAGGCCTTGTATGTCCTAGTCCCCCCCCAGCTGCAAGGCACCACAGTTCAAACTGGGGTCCCTTACAGCATCCACTTCATCCTGTCCTCCACTTCAAGGGTCCTGAATTTACATGCTCAACCTTCCTGCCCTACTGCTGCAGGTCACACTGGATCGCTGAAGCTTTTCTGATTTTCATAGAATAAATAAATATTAACTGTGCCAAGCAGAGATTGGAGGACAGACGCAGACTCATAGGTTAGGATACCTATAGCTTAGTGTTAAGATACTTGGAAATCAGCATTGCAGCCCTGAGACCGTCAGCAAGTAATAACTGTAAACTACAAGGCTGGAATCGTGCTCTCATGTTTTCTCTGGCTTAGTTAATATTTAATTGCTCAGTACCTAGCAAAGGATTGAGAGATTTCTACCAGCACCACAAAATACTCAGCCGTTTCGCTTCCCACAGGCATAGCTGGGTACCAAATCTAGATCTCCCACACGCCAGTGAGTGTGGGAGATGTGTTTCAATTGCTGAGTGAGTGCATAAAAGCACACAGTTTTTGTTAGGAAGCGTGGATGCACTTACATCATAACAAATAAAGTTCAGCCTTGTCAGTCTGGCTGGACATCATTACACCCTTATGGTACAAAGTTTCAGTCCCTGAGATGTCCATATTCCTCGTCACAACATTCCTCAGTAGGTTCTGCTGCTGTAGGCACCCTCTCAATACTCAGCGATGCAGATTATGTTCTTAGGTACCTGGCCCACTCTGCAAGTTACAGAGGGATCCTAGGAGTCTAACCCCTTCAGTATCTATAGACCTGACGGCCTGGATTTACAAATTTGTTTTTAGGCCACAAAGCTTCTGCTGAAGTGACTCTGTTTTCAAAGCTCTTGGTATCTATGGAAAAGGAAAGGAATTGCACAAGATCAGCATCCTTGGAAATGGGACTTCTAGATCCCCAGCTTTGAAAGTACTGGGTATAGGTGACAAATTTGGGTATCAGTGGTTTGAGTAAGGGCCTGAAGCTCTCCCTTCAGATAGGAATGGTAACTTAAAGGTCTTTAATGGTAGGCTTGACCAACAAAAAAGACATGCATGTAACCAGTCCAGCTTTTTACTTACTGGACATGAAAGGCTTTCAGGTCTCTTCCAGACTGCACTGAGACTGGGATAGCAGCTAAATATGTCAAGAACATGCCTTTCACATGAGATATTTAGCTGTAGAAGATAAATATTCTCTAAAATAAATACTCTGCTCTCTCTCACACACACACATCTTATATTTTCTGGCTCTGAGTCTACCAACAATTTATGTATATATTCTTCACCCACTTATATATTTTCTTCCTGTCTAAATTCTGCCTGGGCTAGGCTGATGTGGAGAACACGACAATACTTTGTGGCCAGTAATGCTGTGGGAGAATTATACCAAGACTTTTCAGGTTTAGAATTCATACAAGAGATACCTGAAAGAAAATTATATTTCTGAGAGAAGATAAACAAAACATAACCCAGCTCTACCCAGGCTGCCACATGACTTCCTTAATCCACACTGCTGGTAGTAAAGAAAGCTGAGACCTAATCTTTTCCTATTTGTAGATTTGTGTCTGGAGCAAGGAATAACATTAAATCTTGCAAAATTACTTAAAAATCCATTAACAATTTGATTATATGCATACTTCCCCATAATGTAACTCATTTTATGTACTATGCTGAGTTGAATTCAAGATAACAAAGTTGGTCAGAAGTGCAGTAGTGTGGAACAGTTTTGTAACAGACTCACCCAGCTCTAAGGTCCAAAATGCATTATTGTTTCCTTCTCCCAAACTATGCTGGAACTGCTTTTGGCTGCCAGATTAACTGTTGCCAGAGAGTCAGGAAGGGGTATTCCCGCAATAATACTGTGCTCTTTATCTTATTTTGCCTGGAATCCAAATCACTTTCTCTCCTACAGTGATTTTCTACAAGGCCAGTGTAGGCAAAATAGCATTGGTTACAATGTTCTTACTGAAACAGAAGACTTACATGTCCTGCCAGTTGCCATTCGATCAGTAAACAGATCACCACTGATTGTGCGGGCAGTAACCTGATAAAGGCGTCCTGGAGTTAGCTTGTCAAAGTGAGTCTCTGTGACCGGTGGCTGTAGAGTTTTGACTTCTTTAACTGATCCGAGATGAGACAAGGTGATATTATAGAAATTGAGGTTTCCTGAAGGTCTTCTCCACTTAACTTTTAAAGCATCTAAGCTGTCATCATTAGTCACTGTCAAATCTAAGACTTCAGCTGGGGCTAAAAAAAGAAAATAAGAAAGAGAATAAAATACTTCTACTATAGAACATATAAGACCTGCTACCGCCAAACTGTGATAGTTAAGTTTTGCTTTTGAATAGTTATATGAGATAGACTATGAATGACTGTGCCTTAACAGCGAAAGGACAAAGTCTGGTCACAGAGAAACTGAACCCAGGCCTGTTTGAGATACTCTGCTGCTGAGAGTGTCACCTCTTACAATGTCCACTCTTGTTTCACAGAATAGAGAATCTGTTAGCCATGTCAGTACTTACACCACTCATTTGGACTACAAAACAGACCAGGCATGTGCTCCTAAGAACAGAGATGCCTGCTTACATTTTGGGAAACACTGCAGCACCACTGAAGCTATGCCAGTGTAGAAGGGGTTGAAATCAGACCTTTTTATTCAAATGCTCCACCAAAAGAAGCCACCTCCAGTATCTTCACTTCTCAGGCTTGGGGCACACTAGATACTGAAAGGGAGGACCGTGCTGCAAGCTACATGGAGTGCTTTTATGTTCTCAGAAAACCTGTGAGATTTAAAATTTCTGCACTCCATAACAGCAAGAAATAAAAAATTTTGAAGAAATAAAATGAAACAAGAGTATAATCCCTAGAACAGCCAGTGCTAGGTGACAATAGCACTCATCTGTGTGCCCAAGACATCATAATATTGCTCACTTAATATTAAATTATGCTTACACAGTGAGATTTCTGTAGGAGAAACTGCACCTTATGTTTTCCAGAAATTAAGGAAAGCAAAGCCATGCCCAGTGTTTTAGCCATTGGAATCTAGTAGGATGTCATCTTATCTTTCTCTCTATGAACACAGAACTCTATCCTGAAAAATCTTCCTGAAAAAATATTCCTTTCTAAAACTCTGGCTCTGTGAATCAATACTTCTCTGTGGAAAAAAAACACAACAAACTTTCGATTTTAAAGTTCTTAACCTGCTGTATATTTTTTTCACTTCCTTTTTCAGAAGCGTAGCTACTTTGCAATCCAGAGAAAAAAAGTCACAGAAAATATTTTTTTGCAAAACTCACAAGCTCTACATCTCCCATTCAGCTAAGCAAGAATCATTGAGTTAAACCGTCTTCAGTACTGTGAAATAACAGACTACCAACTGCCTCAATTCACTGAAGTTCATACAGGAGTCATATGAACCTCTTTCACAGATATGAGGTGATACTAAGGCACTTGAGCTCAGATTGCTAATACCTAACTTTACATGTTTAATGGAGCTGCTGACATTAAGCAGTACAGCTAAGTTAGCTGCAGACACCCTACCAGCTAATTTAGCCACTAACTTTGGTGCAGTGCTAACTCAGGGAGTTAAATAAGCTTATGGTATCTCTAACTCCCTCTACAGCCTTTGGAAACACCTGCCAAGGGTAATTCAGTCACTGAAGTCTGGGAATATACACTTGGAACACGAATCATTTATTATTCTGAAATACGTACTGTAATATTATTAGATTACAGCCTTAGCTTCTTGTTCTGTTGTGATGAATTCTGAAATCATACCTGTCCTGACTGTTTGAAAACTGCTGCTCTCCAATCCTGCAGCCTGGGTTATGATAGTAAGGTTATACAGGTGGCCTGCTGTAAGTCCTGAAAAAGTGTAGGAGGTCAGAGGGTCTTCTTGGTCAATCTCATGAATGGGGACATGATTATCCAGTAACACCAGCCTGTAACGATCCACGTGCCCGGAGCCAGGAGACCATGAAGCATGGATAGTGTCTGTCTTGACAGTAACCTGAACATTTTTCACAGGGGATGGCACTGTTGGCATAAAAACCACATGTTTAAGGCCTAACGGTTTTCTCAACAATTTCAGCAATTTTGAACAGATTTACTTTCAAAATATGTTGAGTTTCTTTAGGAAACGAAACCCCAAATTTATGTCCAAATACACCATAACAACATGCCTCCAGTCTTAGCAAACAACTCTTTATGTTAGTCAGAGATTCATGTTTTGGTTATTTCTACTTATAATCAATAGATACTTACATATAGAGAGATACATATCTATCTTGCCAGGTAGAAGAATTATATATGTTAGTTTCAAAATGCAGAACTGCAAAATTCTGTAAGTGGTTTTATTTAGATTAACTAATATAAAAGAAGTCCTACCAGTAGATCCACTTATGTGAAGTTCTGGGGTACTCTTATTTCCAGCAACTGCACTGAGGACAATGTTGTATTTATTCCCAGGGATGAGACTGGAAAAAGTATTTTCTGGTTTTGAAATTCTTCCTGGTATGGAGACTTCTTGTATCTTTTTATTATCGCGATCAAGTAATACTAGGTTATACAAGTCCACCTTTCCTGAGGAAGGCTCCCACTGAACCTGCAAGCTTGTGAGTGTAGTTTTTTCCTTATTAACTTCAAAACGAGGTGGTGGTAAGGGATCTGTAGTTTTAAAAAAGCAGAAAACATAAACTAGTATTTCTTGCATTGGGATTGTCTGAAGTTTTACATAGCAGAACAAAAAACCTTTGAAAACTCTCCCTTTATCACCATGATGCTGCCAATGCTTTTCAAAAAGTCTTTTTCTTTCCATTTATAAACACTATATCATTGAATCTGTCTACAAGGCACTCCTGCAGAATTCAGAAATGTTATTTGTGCTTATGTGTATACACTCACACACACACACACACACACACACACACACAGAGAAAAACAGTTCCAGTTGTGGATGTATATAACAAGCTTGGAAATCTGATGATAGTAAAACTGTAACAACTTTAATAAGAAACAGCAAACATGAAAACCCAGCAAATTATACTGAATGCCTCAGTGTAATGTAGCTTTATAGATACAACGGTACCTGTGGCTTTCATTTCCTACCACTCATGCTAAACATTTTTATCACTAATGGGCATGAGCATTTATACAATTTTAAGGGCAACAATCTTTTGGTTTTAGTATTAACTTCTACCACTTCAAACAGATTCCAATAGTTTGCTTCTGTTCTGCTGTGCTATTGTTCGTATAAATTTAAAAAACCCCAAACAGCCCATTGGATAAACTTTTAGGTACTATATTTAATTGGGACTATTTCTCTGAGAAATTCTCAGCATTCATTACGTTGTTTATTAAGGAGCTCTCAGTAAAATCACCTGTAAAATACAATACATTTTAAAGGGACGGCAAACACTGACCAAAACAAAAGACTCTGGTTGCTTGTATTCTCCAGGTATATTTCATCTCTCACAAGACTTCATGCAAATCAAAAGAAATGCATGACATGTTGATGTACTAAGGTATTGACATTTATGTCTCCCAATAAGGTTAAGCAATTGAATATTAAAAAGGTATTGTAAAACAACCCAAAGCAGCAAAATCAAGCATTCACAAGTTGGGGAGATAAAGAATAAAGGTTTCCCAATAATTTAACAACTAGATTTGTCTTCCACACAAGTACACTCTGTGCTACTCTTGCCTAGCATCAGACAGGGAGTGTATGGTGCATCCACGCTGAGAACTGAGGTCTCCACAGGAACAGTGCCTGAAACACATAAGACTAAGACTGTTTTTCCAATGCAGTTATTGCTGCCTGGTTCCCTGAACAGGCAGACAAAAGCATGTGAAATCACATAATTAAAAACTTCATCATAAAGACTGAAAGGACAAAGTCAAACCTACCCCCACCCTACGAATACAGCAGTAGGAGTATCATGGGGTACTAGCCTTTAAAGCTGTTTTTTCTTCAAAGCCTGGATGGTGCAGAGGGTTTAATCGCTTCTTACAAAGCTCTGTTGAGAACATACTGGTGCTAGGTTTTGGTGGTATGCTCTATCAATCATCTATGTTAGGAATTTCAAGGGACTCTCCCTCCTTGGAGACATTCAAAAGCTGTCTGGACATGGTCCTAGGCAACCGGCTCTACATGGCCCTGCTTGAGCAGGGGGCTTCAACCAAATCACCTCCAGAGGTCCCTTCCAACTGCAATCAGTCTGAGACTCTGAAAAATACCATGTCCCTTTGAACCCAGGTCTCTGCTTAAATTCAGCTTCTTGCTTTGGACTACAGAGATACTAATGGTCTTCAGAAAGAAATTAACAAAATCAATAAATAAAAATAACTATATTTTTTCAGGCCAAACTAACTGCTTAAATCTGAAAAAAAACCCAAACAAAAAACACCCCCTCAAATCAAAGACCAAGCATATCAAACTTAACAGTTAAAACTTCATCCAGTCACAGCAACTGAAACAGGAGGTTTTAATGAAAAGTGTCAGGAAATCTTAACAATGGGCTTGACTACCAGCTCCACCTATAATATATACTAAGCCATTAAAGACTATTATGTTGGCAGAAGTGAATAGAGGGGGTATAATCTTGTTCCTTGAAGGCAATTGTTCTAATCAGAAAGGTCAAACTTTGGGAGTCAGAAATAAATTCCAGCACTATATATGGTCAGATGCACAGCCAGCTGTAAAAGTTTAAAGTTGACTGATATTAAGAGAACAGTCATGATAACTGTCAATAAGTTTAAGTCCCTCTCTGACAAAGTCAGGATAAGGTTGACTGCTCATTAGTCCTGCAACAGTCATCAACATTGTAAATCTGCATTATTTGCCAAATTCTACAAAATATGACATCTACATTTTCAGAAGTGCTTAAACTGTCCTGGGTAATCTGTCTTCTAAGGTGCATTAGCAATGAAAAGGGTTGCGTGCCTAGAAGGTGAAGTTCAGAAATTCAGACTTTATCTAATCTATCTGGTCCAGAAAACAAAACACTCAGTGCTTTGTACATCCGCTAGAACAAAGGAACAATGAGATTGGGAAGTGCCTGGGCTGAAAGAGCCCTGGATGGAAACAAACACTTAAAAAGCCATTTACATTGTTATACAAGTCTCTGCTGGCAACGATACAACCTGATATATCACAGAAATAAAATATTTTCACAAAGATATTTTTATACCATTTGATACTATATGAATTAATGTCTCTTGATCTACAAAGCAATCTTCCAGAAGACTTAATGTTGTTTGAATTACACTGCACCTCTGTTTTCACTTTTTGGTAAAAAAGTGTGTGCATAGCTGCTACAGATACATTTTATATAAATGACAGACACAGTTATGTCCAATCCCAATGACATGACTCCCAAATATAGCCTGTGAGCACAGAAACACCTCTGCCTTATGCAGAGGAAAAAAAAAAAAAAAAAAGAGATAAGAGCCCAGGACTGAGTAATGGGGAATTCCTCCCAGTCTCAGCCGTCTTCCTACCAAATTCTCAAATTTTTTTCCTAGTTCTCCCTATCATAAAACAGTAACCTACTCTTTTGAAGATTAAGTAAAGAGGCAGCTTGATTTCATTGTCCTTATCAAGTACAAATATCCATTTATTTGGGATGATATGCAACCTAGAAAATCTTTAAAACATGTTTATTTATCTTCTTCTTGTACTCTGCCATTTGAGATCATAACCATTACATGATAATGAATGAGAGGATTATACAGCCTATAGTCACAGCCATGTCACAGTAGCTGTTCCTACAGATGGCTAATAAATCAGATGTGTCCCAAATAATTTGAAATTTACAGGAGTGAACACATGATCAAGCCATGCTGCTGGCATTTACATAGTTACATACTACGAAAAATTACCAGTTTGCATCTTAGAAGGTAGAATTTTTAAAGTCTTTTCATTCAAGTATTTAGCAATTTTTATGATAAAAATTTATTTACCTGTTAGTTCTCTCAGTACAGGTGGCTTGGATTACACAGTAACATAGTATATCACTGCAATATTTCTGCAGAAAACAATGCTGAAAATGGCATTCATAAGCCTATTTTATAAGATATATTTGAAAGTTGGGGAATTGCCAAGTTGCTTCTCATGGGTCTCAAGACCAGTATTTCAAATCTGAATTTAAATTCAGAACTGAAATTCATAAATTTAACTGTAATTTAGATCTGCTTATATACTACTATTTTTCACTAGAATTTTAATTAAAGACCTAGTCATTCACTGAAAATACTAAAATACAGAGTTAAGATGGTGCATGGACATTTAAACAATAGAGAATTTTGAAAGTATTTTATCTGAAATCAAGAAAGATACATTCTTACCATCTTTTGTCATAGAGTGGCTCTCAGTCACAGAAGTAGTTTTACTGAGAATAAAGAAGATAACACAAAAGGACTGACAGGTGCATGTGTTGTCCCAACTTTACAATGTCAAGCATGCTGACTAGCTGTATGGTTTTATATGCTGTTTTATGTATTCATATGTTGTGTTTTTATGTATTCATAAAACACAACAAATGATAAATTAATATGTGAAATAAATATACTAGCACCTGTAATCCCAGGTTTTCAGTGGAAAATTTATCTGTAGCTTGGAGCTGATAAATGGTGTTATCAGCTTTTTCTTCATTTCCTATTCTATCGAAATAGCATAATGACCAACATTGTTTGTGTTTGCATGCCTGTGAATACCTGGCTTATATAGTGCATATGTGATTGCATTTTCCATCATTTTGGAGGACCTATTTTAGTTCTGCTCTAGAGGATTAAATACTTGCTGTTTTAAATTGATAACCCACATATCAAAATTTCTTGAGTAAAGAGACTCCACCTTAGTGGATTAGTGCGAATTATTGTACCAGTATTCCATACATTATTAGATTTCAGATACATGCATCTGCAAGTGAAATAGAAGCTGCTTCTCGACTCAGAGATTCACAAAAGGTCTGGTGTTACTTGAGAGTTGATGCAGTGTTGGTGAGCTGCGCACTCACTCTACTGGAATATCAAACTTGCAAACAACATAGACCTAACTCATTGTCATAACTGTGATTTTAAGGTGACATTAAATACTCGAAAGGCCACATTAAGTTAGGGGTTCAGTCCTCTCCAAGCCTATACATTACAACTGCAACTACAGTATGCATTATTAATCACTTTCACCTTAAGTACTTAGTCATAACAGATCACACTCAAAATTTAATAAAATGTGTTGGATCTTATGGGTCTAGCTACTCCACTGTTTTGTATAAGAAACATGATGAGAACTGAACTCATAACAGGAATGAGCACATTAAAATTTTAACAGGATTGAATATGAGCAAAAAGTTAATTTCTGAACTAGGTTTACAAATAAATCTGCAACTTCCTCTGTCTACATTTATAATATCAAGACAATACAGCTGGGATTCCTCTCACTTAACTTCAACTGTCTAAACTTCAAGTGCCTGGTTTAACATAGGTTCCTCCATTTATAGTCAGTGGAGAAAGATGGGCACCTCCAAAGAACACTTAGCCCATCTTTCTTAGACAAAAAGCTCAGGAAGGGAACCGCACTGAGTACCAAGGTTGGACATCATATTTTTTAGATGGTCCATGACAGCTCAGTTCCATTACCATTCAAATCAGTGGGAAAATTGTTTATAATATGGCCGAAAATATTGCTCATACTTTCATATTCACAGGATAGCTTCCAGGAACACATGCCTATGGACATTCAGGCTCAGCAGATCGTAAAACAAAACTACTGACATCAAGTTACAAAGGAACAGGTGAAAAAGAGCTTCCAGAAAACTGGTTTAAAATGCTGCCCCTAGTGGAAACGTAGAGAAGAATAATCCTCATTCTGCATTGAAATGCAGTGTATTGACAGTACAACATGGTTGTTGACAGGCATAACAAACCCTATATATTCTTTAGAAAAAAAAAATCGACAAATTTTGGAGCTAACTGTGTATTTTGAACACTATCAAGCAATGCAACTGATGTGATTGAATCAAGGGAAGCGAGTAACCATGGAGCAATCTGAGCAGCTGTCTTTGCAAGAAACCTCCAGGTTCCTCCATTCCTGTATTTCATGCTTTTGATTGATCTCTGCTATCCAAAGTCCAGACATAAGCCTCACTTCAACTATGGTCCACTAATTTGCAGTATTTCAAATTAAACTTAAATTGGTCTTTTCACTCTGATGTCAGCTACATAACAGTACTATCATCAGCAGTTGCTTCCAATTGCTTTTATCTTACAGTCTTGCAAAATCTATTTACTGATAAAAAAAGTCATAAAGTACATGTACAAGCTACTGTCTCAATGATTATGCATTAACCAAAAGACGATCTAAAGTGGTATCTTCTTCTCTCCTTATACGCAGGTGTTCAGTAACAGATCTCTACTATTCAGTAATGATGGTGACTTATACCTCACTCTGGTAATGGTTAACTTATTCTTTCAATTTTCAAATTACAAGTCATCAATATTAAAACCAGTTAGCATGATGCATGACTGATTTAAATCACTGTTTGCATAGAAACCATTACTCATTTTTAGTAAGTGACATGACTTGTGCTTGATGTTTAGCTATTGCACTAGCAGACTTGTCACTAGACTTATTTTTAACTTGAGTTCCCAAAGCAATTAATGGAGGGTATTTAGTGCATTTCTATTGTTAATGCACGGAAAAGATTCTGACTGTAAACGATGTCTCTAAACTGGTAACTGTTAAGTATTTGGCTGCTGTAATCTTCAATAATAATACTGCAACATACCCCTCTGAAACTAACTTTAGGAGCAAACCAGGGAGGCATTTAATGCTGGACCTCATTTAAGACATCTCTCTTTTGAGTCTTGTGTTACCACCATTAAGAGGCTGGACAATACTATATTTCATCATCTTTAAAAAGACACTAATACAGGTAGAAAGAGTCCAGTTCTGTCACTGCAGCCAGTGGCTCTATGTCATTCATTGCTTCACAGCCGAGTTGTCCACACACACACACACACAAACACATATGCTGAAAGGGGGCTTTCCTTGGGAGCGCTCTGACAAGTTGCTGGAACATTTTTACAGCCAGTCATGGATGTGACACACAGCTGTGCTCTGCACATACTCTACATCGTAACACCTCACTGGACTGGCTGTATTCAAGGAAAACATGCAAGCAAGAAGTTTCAGCCTTAATTTCTGACTTTTAGACTCTGGTTAGACAGATAAAAAGTACAGAAACAGGCTGAAATAGTAAGTTATTCTTGGCCAGGATCTACCTGCCGTGAAATAAGACTGTATTTTAAACACAGTAAATTAGCTGTCACCTGAGGAACGACGAATGCAATAGGTTTACATGAGCTCAAAGGATGTTATGGGCTACTACTTCTGAAAGCATTCTGCTGGACGGCAGCTTAAGGGAGGGAGCGGCTGAAATGTGCTCCCAGCACTAAGTGAATCTCCTCACAGCACCTTCTCCTTTCAAGCCTGATGGGTTAACTTTTGGCAGCAGTTATTTCTGGCAGCGAGGTAAAGCGAACTCGAGCGTGCAGCAAACACCGCAGGTTTACAGCGGCTCTAAGTGCATCGCCCTCCTCCCCTCACAGCCGGTCGAAGCACGGGGACGGGAAGGAAAACTCCGGCGTCCCTCCCCGCGCACCTTCCGCGCCCGGCGCCCGTACCTGTCCGCACGGAGATGTTGACAGCCTCCCCGTCGGCGAGCGGCTGGACGCGGAGGCGGTACCAGGTCCCGGCCTCCAGGCCCCGCAGGGTGCAGCCGTAGGAGCCGTTGCCCGTGGGGGCGGGCTGGCAGCCCAATTCCTTCTT